ACATTTAAAAAATGCAAATAAAACATACAGTCGAATTGAGAACTTCATACTTTTATAAAGTCGGTTAAAAAGAAAAACAATTTTAAACACAAAATTTTCAAGTATTAGTTACGTTTTCTTATTAGACTTGAAAACATTTTTATAGTTATTAGATTTCGAGGACGTCCGCAAAGGCACTTATCGAGTGGCTCAAATTAGTTTTAGAGGCGGGACGTCTCAGAAAATTCGGGACAGTTGGTTAACCTAGTCACGAGTGGCACAGCGAAGCAACTCATGAGAATGAGAATATCTTGTTGATTGTTTAGTAGTTTACAGTACGATTGCGTCATGCCTGCAAATTCCGAGGAACTTGACCGAGTCCAGCAGCCAGCTACTCGGACCATGTTTAAACAAAAAATCCAGGAGGAAAAGAAGAAGGGAAAGGATCCCTGAAGATCCCTGGATTTTTATAGGGTGACAATCGAGCATACAGTCGACCTGATGGTAAGTGGATGCTGCGGTCCATAGACATCTACATTTATTCTCGATCACGAATCAAAATGCAGATGCGTTGTCACCCGTGAGGACTAAGATGGAATGCCTCGTTCCAGTAAAAAGCGTATCCGGTTCTCTACACTCACCATACGAAACACAGCAATGTTAAGCTGTTATTTATCGCTGGCATATTGTGAGAGCGTGGTCCTTCCCCTGTCAAGCTGACCCATTCGTGCTACAACCATAACATGGTTGAAGCTTGGCTCTGCCACGTAAAGAAACGTGAAAGAAGTTACAGGTGACTACCCCCACTTACCCCATTGCCTATACAATCATAAATGTCCCAGTCGCCGTTTAGTTCATGCCAGGCAAGTAACACTTTGTACATTTTTTTAAGTTCCCACATTAACCTGAAACCTGTAAGTCCCAGACCAAGATGGGACGAAACTTCTAGTTTATAGTATCGTTGATTCTCTTTTCTCGTCACCTAGTGAACACTATTATGAGTTTTTTTTTATTCGATCACTGTAGATACATCCGTATCCCTTTTAAAGCATATTGCACGTACTGAGGAGTGTGAGAATGTATAATAGAAAAATAATAAAAATTAACTTTAATTTACCAGAGGGTAACACCAACACTGTCTGACACATTTGGACCTGAGAGACCAAATACACAAAAAAAATCACCAAAATGGGTCGCGCCATTTTTGAGTTTTTACGAGACTGACGGACAGCAATTATATAGAGATTACTCTAAGGCCAATGGCAAACACTTAATTAGCCTGTAGTCAAGCAGTGGCACAGAGTAGAAATTGTCGCTTAAGAATTTCAAAATGCGGACTGAATGAATAAGTTGTTTGCAGCTTGCTTATTATAAAAACCTAATAAATTTAATAAATTACCATCTAATTTCGATCACCAAGCGACGACTAGTTGTTATGCATTCTTAATTTAATCTGAATAAAAGTCGAATTAATTAAAACCTGTCCCACTTCCGTATGTATCTTAAATGTCACCGAGATTTTTACATCCTTATTGAACTTTTGAACGGTTTTTGAAATATTTTTCATTAATTATGTAAATTGATGAACGTAGCATATAAATACCGTGAAAGATTTGTAGCTTTAATATTAATATGTTCGGTAGGTAAGTACGCAAAGAAAAATCTTATCATTATCATTACAGCCGTTCACAGTCCACTGTTGAACTTAGCGCCTCCACCAAGGAATTCCACAAAGAACGGTCCTGAGCCACCTGCATCCATCGACTTCCTACACTTCGGCTACCGGTACGAGCCTGTCGGTTGTCGGTTCTTCGAGCTATATGATCGGTTAATTGCCACTTCGGCTCACTTATCTATGTAAGACTATGTCGGTTACTCTGGTTCTACAGCGAATAACCTCATTTATAAGTTTATCACGCAGAGAAACTCCGAGCATAGCACTCTCCATAGCTCCTTGAGCTAGCATGAGCTTTACTTATACGGCCAGCAGTGATGGACCACGTCTCAGATTCATAAGCCTTCACTGGCAACACGCACTGGTTGTACAATCTCGTTTTCATCTTTTGAGGTATAGCTGTCGAGAAGATATGTCATAGTTTCCCAAACGCTTAGATCCTTCAGCGCTTCTGCAATAAGGACTATATCGTAGGCAAAACGAAAATGAGTGATGTAATCGCCATTGATACCGTATCCTTTCCAGTCCAGTAGCTTGAAAACGTCTTCCAATGCAGCGGTGAAGAGTTTCGGGGAGATTACGTCACCCTGTCTTATACCTCTCTGCAGTTGGATAGGTTACGTACTCTGGTAATGTACTCGGATATTGATCGTAGTAGCGTTGCCAAGAAAAATCTGGCTGCGCTGATATCGCGCTTATAATACAGTATATAATGTTTGGTGTGAGTTGATAAGAAAACAACAGTGACAAGTCATAAAAAATTGAAGATGTTAAAATTTTAATTAGCTCAGATCCGTGTAATAGAATAAATGTGTCTCACCTATTTTAATGAGCACCTGCCCCTGGCCTCTCTCAATGAGGTCTTTCTTCAGGTGTTTTTTATGTTCTTAAGGCACTACAGTTTTATAATAAGCTTAAAGGTTAAATCAGTAATTAAAAACCCGACCGCGTAATAAACTTTACTGAAAACAAAAACATTTTACACCCTACTAGTGATCCACTCACTTTCGCACGGGTGATTTCTAGATCTCAACATTAGCTCTGTCCCATAGCCGGGTACGCTTGTGTATCTAAACCATCCAGTAAATATATTTCTACGTGGTAGAGCCATGCTGTAACTATATTAGTAGTATAGTTGTGGCACGAATGGGTCGGCTCGACCGGGGCAGGACCACGCTCTCACACAATACCAGCGTAAAATTACTTAAGCTTAACGCTGTTGCGTTTCGTATGGTGAGTATAGAGAACCGGAGACTCTTTTTACTGGAAATGATGCATTCCATCTTAGTTCTCACACGTATATAAAAATCAATTTTTGTAGGAATTTTTTTGTGTGTCTGAGTATCTCTGAATTTTTGAAGTGAAAACTTCTTTAGCGGCGTTGTACACTTTTTTGTAATGGGTAAAAAATGTTAAACTCGCGTCAGGACACGTGACCTGATCGAAAATTCGTAAGACGTCGTCGAAATTATGGATGGAAGTTGATTTTTCTGAGAGAAACTAAACTTTTTAATGTAATATAAATTGTCATGTTTGTGTACGATAGCGCAATAAATAAATATTGTATTCTACCACATAAATGATAGTACTTTTATAGTGATAATTGAAGCAATTCGTGCAAAATTATTCCCTAACCATTCCAAAATATCAAAAATGCACAACGAAATAATATTCAAGTTTTCACCTCTGCCTGCACTCCCGGAGTGCAACCCGTCGTTTTCTTTTAATAGGATTAGTGTGACGAACAAGCACACAGGCCACTTGACGGTAATTGGTTGCTTCGGCCCATAAACATCTACTCGTACATTTATCCTCAATTACGAATCAAAATGCAGATGCGTTGTCACCGGTGAGGACTAAGATGGAATGTCTCGTTTCCAGTAAAAAGGTTGCCCGTTTCTCCACATTTACCATAAGAAACACAGCATCATTAAGCTACTATTTTACGCCGGTATTCTGTGAGAGCGTGGTCCTTCCCCGGTCGAGCCGACCCATTCGTGCCACAACTATATTACTATTACAACTACAGCATGGCTCTACCACGTATAGAACTGCAACTGCGCACTGCACTGAAACTGCACATATTAGTAACAAATTATATACTGATTTTTTATATAACATCACACATTTCCAAAATGTCGGCGTTGAACACCTCAGTCCTCTCGTGACCCTGAGTGCTGTAAATTGTTTGAAACGTCGCGAATATAAGTTAATAATACTATATTCATTTAGACTATACTCCCACAAGGAGCTTTAGCAACTTCCGGATTCCAGAGTTACAACCTTTTGTTTCTAGGAGGGTTATGAAGCTGGAAGGAGTCCAATGTGTTGATGCTTTACTATGGGGTATCCTCAATCTTGCTTTTTTAACATCGAAGTATTATGTTTCATGACACTGTCCTGATACATAACTCTTTCAGACCCTCACAGAAATGAGAGGTCTTTGATCATTGTGGAACGTTTGTATTGTTGTCTTTACTTTAATACTACATATACATATAAATAAAATTGAAGTGTATCTCTGTAATATGAATATAACTGCCTTATATTGAGCTGAGGGTAGGTTTGCCAGATCGGAAGACCAGAACATATGGATAAACTTTGAAAAAGTCGGGATTTTAGGGTTGTTAGTTGTTGTTGTGAAAATTTTATTTAGAGATTACAAAAAGTACTTTAACAAAACTTATTTAAGCACACTTAATTTTTAGGTTGCCACATGTATTTGGCATTGGACTCTACTAAAGTCCACCAATTTGGATCTTTTAGTAGTATTCGGAAAATATTTTAAATCCAAGCAATTCATTTCAAAGTTCAGTCTAATTACTTATTGAGCTTTTATTAAACCAAAGTTACCAAACGTACCAAATAATACCAACATACTAAACCATACGTTTAATTTCCGAGAAGCTGTTTATCTGGAGATTTTGAGTTTTGTCGGGAGTCTGGAGATCATTTAAAATGTCGGTACAATCCATACGAATCCCGAACATCTGGCAAGCCTAGCTGAGGGGGTTATGTGCATGCCATTAAGACGTAAATAACCATTTTTAAAATGTTTTACTGTCTCTGTGTGTTCGTTTGTCTGTCGAACCAAAACATTTTGAAATTGTTTATGAAAAACAAGAACGATAAGTGGGTGAAGTATATTGTCTTTGACTATCTTAAACAGTTTAAAATATGCTTAAATTATATCAATATTTTATATCTGATATAGGTTTCTAACGCTATAAATTAAAAACGCAAACCAAAAATGATCTGAAAGTGTAGACCAAGTGTTTGAAAGTGGAACTATGTCGAACTAAGTGTATCAAGTGTAACAAGTGTGCACAAGTGAAGTGGTGTGAGTATGACGGCCGGGGTCGCCACGCGAAGGAAGTCAAAGTCGAGACGCAGCTGGGCGAAGATCGAGAATGAGACGCAGGTGCAAAGATAATAAACATTTTATGCGTTTAAGAATATGTAATTGCATAAAGAATATATATTTCTCGTTATTTTTTATATAGTTATTTTGTTGATCCTCAATGTCTTACAAATCTTATTGCACCTCCAAAGTAGTGTCATGTGCTTGCTTATAGGTTGATAGGTAGAGAACGCCCTAAGGCGTTAAGTCCGCCTTTGTACATTTTTGTGCAACAAAGTTTTAATCAATAAATAAACATTTTATAGCAGACATAGTCGTTCAACTCAGGTTAATGGATGCCAGTCTACGCTGCCTGCTAAACATGAACTTTCTGAAATGCTCTAGCTGGTGAGCGCAGAGTCGAACCTTCCAATGGTAATGCTAGTCCCCATCACCATTCTGGTATATATAGGCTCGGCTATATTCTATGAGTAGGTCAAGATTATTGTTGAAAGAAGTCCTAGTCGACGATCCAACCCGCACCCCGAAGTTTGCTGGTGGTACCGGCTTTAGTTTTGACTTTCTATATTCGTTTACGCTAATAGAAAACTATAAGAGTGAATGAAGATTATATACATCGTTTATTTATCTAATATTACGTTTATTTGACGCATTCCGCAGTGCAGAAAAGCGCGGGACTCAATCGGCAGAACCGGATGGGTTGATCAATCGGCAGAGGTTCTGCGCGCGATTTATGATGATATAATGTCCTGCTAAAGCGTGTAGTAAGCTATGTTAGAATATCCAATACTCCGTATCGTTCCCTGGGTATCGTAAGATGCGACAAAGGTAAATAAACAAGGGTATCAGCATCTACTAGATTTAAAAAAAAACTGCGGTTTCCAACCTGTAAACCCGACAAGTGTAATAAGTGTCTATCTAGTAGAGAAAGCAGTGGATTTTAGAAAGGCTATAATGGTGACAGTAATGTCCTCCTGTACGATTCAGGCACTAACCACAACGCCAGCCTTGCTGAAGTAACTTGCCTTGTTGAGCCTTGTTGAAAACTTCTTTACGCACGCTTGACTTGGGGAGTAAGCTGGCGAACTCGTAACGAAAGCGTTACGAAAAGTGTGATCGGGCGAGGCGAACGGGAGTTGAGTGGGGCATATAAGCAAGAGAGTGCAGTGCGCGCGCACATTTTCTTGCTCTCTTTCTCTCATAGCCAGTTATTTTTCGTAATTTTATTTCGTTTTGAAGAATTTTATGAATTAATATTTTGTTAAAAAAAAAGAATATTAACAATGCTATAAACATTACTAATATACCCCTTAACCACTCGTGGTAAGCTTAAATTGCTTGTGTTACGAGTGGTTCACGCCAGTAGTCGAATGGCGGATTCGAACCCACGACCTTTTTGAGTTCGCGGTCCGCGCCCTGCCATTAGGCTACTGTCGCTTATAATTTCAAAGTTCATGTTTGTGAATTGTCTGGTTAATAATAACAAATTATGGAAGGAAGCCGATAATAAATTTAAATATTTGTAGAAAATTAATATATATACATACAGATGGAGCTAAAGAAGTTTTACTTCAGTCGTGTGGTCTTAAGCACACTCGTTTTTGTTTAAATTACCACTACCACTCGGTTTTTCTCCTGTATCGTAAACCGTTACACACATAAATTGCACATGGATAAACATCCACACCCGGGACTATTACTTGTAGGACACACAAATACTTCACCATACAAATACTTGTTCCGTGCGGGATTACAACCTGCGGCCCCTAGCGCTACAACTCATTGCTAAGTCACTGCGCCACGTCGATACAAGGAAACCCGTAGTAAAAACGTCAAAAGGAAGCCAACAACGAATTCTAACAGAGTTATACACAATCGTTCCCCAGGTTCTGTACATTTTACGTAAACAACTCTTATTGTTATTTATATTATTTTAGGTTCCTTTCAGTTTATAATCTCTCACATCCTATGAGAGAGGAACGGCATTAGTAGTATAAATTATTATTTTGTTTGTACCTTGGTATTAGTAACAAGTGGTAACATAGTATATAAACATAATATGTGATACAATTAATTTCATTGTACTTAGGTTATATTAGCGGAATGTACAAATTTTTAGATAGTATTTGATTATTTAACTTTTGCTTGCATCCTAATATTTCTATAAATTAACGGTGGGGATATGGCGCTGACAGCTGATGCACAGGTCTCCTAGTTCGGCTGCAGATGCTATGTTTTCAAGTATATGTACTAATGTAGCTTTATTAAATAATGTTATGCAAATATCGTGATGTACAACCTCTTGGAAATAAAGAACTTATTATTATTATTATTATTATAATCTATAACTAAGTAAAAAGTCTCTCTGGTGTAGCGGTCGTGAACGCAACTGATGATCTTCAGGTACCCGGGTTATCATCAGTTTATTGGTTTTATCTGACAACAAATTCTCAGTAGTAGCCCGCAGCCTGGAATATAGATAGAGTCATGCTGCAGTTATATTAGTAGTATAGTTGTAGCACGAATGAGTCGGCTCGACCGGGGAAAAATCACGCTCTCACAGAGTACCAACGTAAAATAGCAGCTTAATGCTGCTGTGTTTCGTGTGGTGAATGTAGAGAACCGGAGACCCGTTTTACTGTAATCGAGGTATTCCATCTTATCCCTCAAGGGTGACAACGCATCTTCATTTTGATTCTTAATCGAGGTTAAATGTAGATGTCTATGGGCCACAGGATCCACTTACCATCAGATGGGCTGTGTGCTCGTTAGTCACCTTTGTTGTGAGAGATTACCGTCCCATCGGAATACGAGAGTGAGGAAATAGAGAGTGCACCTATACTTGCACAAACACTTGCGTGCTATAATCCAGGATTAATTAATCCTTTCCTGATGAATAGTTTCCAGGTATTCGATTTTTGGAGGACATTAAGTGTAGGATTATCTGATATGAGGAGGGAATATTTTCTTTTATATCCTATATTATGCTAAAGTAAACAGGGTATGTTATTATGTTTTGTTAAATAATTGTTTTATTATTGTTTAAACCGTGCTCACGCCAATACGGTTCGGTAGTTGCGGCACTGCGTGGCCGTGGGTTTGAATTCAAATCCACACGCACAAGTGTTTGTATGGTCTTTAAATAATTGTTCCGAATACGGACGTTCGTCCACTAGCAGTTCTACGATCCAGGAGAAAATTCTGTCGTGGGGTAATGTTTGTTTTTAAGAAAAATGGCAGAAGAAGCGCGAGAGTAGAATAAATGCAGTAGAAATGCGGTCGTTAAGGAGTATTGTAGGGCTAAATCTGAGTGACAGGGTGAGAAATTGTGTGATAAAAGAATAGTGTGGTTTGCAAGATGATGTTGTGATCAGGATTAAGAAAGTAATGCTTCGGTGATTTGGTCATGTGGAAAGAATTAATGAGGAAAGAGTGACAAAGCAAATTTATGTTGCAGAATTGAATGGAAGAGTCGGAAAGGGACGTCCTAGGCGAAGGTTTATCTATCAAATTGGCGATATATTGAATATGGGTCAAATCAGGAATACCCTTAACCGACGAGCATGTATGCGTAGCAATATGAATTTGGTGGAGGCGAGAGGGGTGTGTCAGGTCGTGCCAAATGATAGTCTGTAGTCTCTGCCTACCCCTCTGGGTGACAGGCGTGAGTGTTTATGTATGTATAAAAATTGAAGATGATATTTTAACAAGTTATTTGTTTGTCCCCAGGTGTCAGACTTCACAGATATTGGCGACTGGCCAACACTAGGCGCGGCAACCGGTGCCGCTCGCTGTCACTCGACGCCGCCGCCACATGATGCGGACTCCTTGCATCATAACGGCAATGCGGTACGTCATCACATTTTTACTGATTTCATCACCAACTGTCGTGTACAGATTTTGTGTTTTCTTTTGCCACTAAACCAACATACATATTATATTGTGAATACGACCGCCTCGTTGTCTAGTGGTCATAAACGCGGTCACTGATCATGAGGCTTAAGGTTCGAATCCCGGGTCGTTTCAAAACCAGTAAGTGGATTTTTCTGTCAAGAAATTCTTTGTAGCAACTTGGAGCTAGTTAGGAAGTTGGTGATGTTTCAACCCAGTGCCTAGGAAAGTATCTCTGTCCAATCGTGCGTCCCATCGGACTATGAGAGTGATTGAGAGAGAGTGCACTTGTGCTTGCGCACACACTCTGGCAATATAGACTTGTCCAGCGCTGATGGCTAGTCTTCGTTGAGACTGATCCCCTTGACTACCACACGGTCTGGAGGACATGAGGACTTTATTATATTGTTAATATGAGTAGCTTTGTCTATAAATATAGAATAAGTTAATAACTTGACTATAGCGCCACCTATCGGAAGCTAACGTAGCTATGCTATGCTATAATGTAGCTGTCGAATCCTGTTTTTCTTGGCATCACTCACGCTAAGCTTCAGTGGGCCCCCCATATGTCTAAACTAGCAAGCAGACTAAGCTCTGCCGCTTATGCTGTAAAAATGATTAGAGATCTCACTAGAGTGCTAGATTCCATAGCATAATGTCATATACGATTTTGCTATGGGCAAACGCGGCTGAATTAGCAACTGTTGAGTCTCTTAGAGAAAAATTTAAAGAAATAAATATATAAGTATAAACTTTAGCCTCTTAGTATATCTACGAAAATTTAATGTATGTTCACAAAAACAAAGGTAGTTTTAGTAAAAAAGTGATATACACTCTGTAAACACCGGGAACAAACACAAGCTATAATAGTGATACCAGTTTCTCGACTCCACAGAGTCAGTAATTCATTCTTGGTACAATGTATACGCTATTACAACAAAGTCCCAGAAAATATACAAGGCTCTCTATTACCAAGTTTAAATATTTAATTAAACAAAAACTGTATAAAAAGGGTTATTATGATATAAACGCTCCATATTCTATTATCTTTATTGAATACATGGTTTGATAATAACCCCTGGGAATAAGGTGGTCGATGCGAAACTGTTTCTAAAATAAATTTTGTAAATATTTTGTGACCATGGACATTGTAAAATTATTTTTCGCTTCCCAGGACAGAAGTTTTTCGAACCATTGGTAAAGTAAAAAATGACTTTCCATAACAATTGCAACGTGTAATCTATATTGAATAAAAGATTATTCTATTCTATGAACCATCGTCTCGATTAAATAAATATATTCTGTGAATATGATTTCAAATGGTCAAGTCGTTTATCATCAATAAGCTCTAAAATAGCACGCAATTTTGTTTGAATATTTGTAAGGTTTTAGTTATGATTTACTTTGATAGTCTGTACTGTAGCTCGGATAGATGTATCGTTACAGCCTGTAAAGTCTTTGTAAGACATAGGCCACCGCCCATTCCAGCCAAGCGAACCTAACAGACCTGGTGGTAATAAGTGCCTATTACAGTACATGGTCACGTAATCTATTTTTAACAAAAAAGGGGCACAGATACGTTGTCACCACTGAGAACTAATATGTAATGCCACTCCAGACTCCAATGTGTAATTATACTGACTCTACATTCTTCAGACTCAGAACACATCAGTCCACGCACTACTGCAGTAATAATATTGTAATGATAGAATATCATCATCCAGACGGACTTCTAGGCTAAAAAGCAGTCCTAACATTTACTGAATAACTAAATTTTATCGTTTTGAAGTGACACAGATAGTAAGCATCTAGTTTTGTGTATATGAAGTACCATATTTCTATAAGAAAATTGCGATTCGCCGCGGCTGCGCCTGGGTGATTTCTAGATCTCACAATAGCGTCAGATATCGGAGTCCAGTTGTGGATCTTAACCATCCTGGAACCCACAAACAAGTAGAGCAGTACATGTGAAAGAGCCATGGTTCAGCTATATAATTTTAACAAGAATGGGGAAAGACCATGCTTCACTAAATACCGGCGTAAAATAGCAGCTTAGTGCTGCTGTGTTTTGTATAGTAAATGTAGAGAATCTTATACCCTTTTTATGGGAAACGAGGCATTTGATCTTAGCCCTCAGAGTTGACAACGCATCTGCATTTTGATTCTAAATTGAGGAAAGATGCAGTACAGCATTCACATCCCATCAGGTGGATTGTGCGCTCGTTTGTCATCTTATTTTGTAAAAAAAGTCATCAAAAGCGGTATTCAATTTATATATATATACAATATGTAACTATATTAACGCACACCCTCAGACACCCCAATTAGTATATTATGTTATAATCATAATACATACACTGAATTTTTAGTTAAACATTTTTATGCACTGATTATTTATCAAATTAGTTATACTAATTCCGGAAGAATGTTGTGGTTACAGTACAATCCACAAACGCAAAGACTTTAACGTGCTTGAAATAAAGTTCATTTTTCTTTATTTTTATTGAATGACAGAATTAGTAATAATACAAATAAAACTGCACTCTTAAAAGTCTTATTGCCTTAAGTTACGGTCCATTTCAGTTTGTTTTGACTGTACAGATTTAGTGTGACTGTAATTTACGTAGTTTTAATAATTTTTGGGATAAAAAATTACCTATATTAATAATGATAGGAATCGATTCAGTAAACGATTCTAAACAAATTACTTTCTCGAAGTGCGTTAATTATGTTACATGTTGTATATATATATATATATATTAAGAAATTATAATGTGATATTATCCCAAAACTTATTTTAATCAATGTTGAATTGTTTACTGAGTACTTGATAATATTTTCTTACAATCGATTGTACTCTCTTTGCAGACTGTAGCTTCTTTTAAATAAATATGTCAGAACTAGAATTAAACTGATGTGGTGAATGAATACAGTGTCTTAAACACACTTCCACTCATATGGAGTAAGTTACTTGTAAATATGATTTTTGGTTATTGCCCCGCGCTATACGAAGTCAGATAGTATGCCTACTGTATTATAGCAGACGTATTACCGATATTTAACACTTTTTTAACCTACCTCCTTTTTTAACCGGGTTCGAACCCCGCCGGCACCGATGAAATTGTTAAATGCAATTTTAAGTGCTGATTTACCACGTGCTCGGCGGTGAAGGAAAACATCGTGAGGAAACCTGCGTGTGAGAAATAAGAAAAAAAATTATTTCGAAGACATGTGAAGTTCGCAAACAGGCATTGGGGCTGCGCGGCAGACAATTCCTTGCCCTAATATCCTCTCAGAAATGAGGGGAGGGCCTTTGCTCAGTGGGACGTATATAGGCTAGGCAGAAAGTCGACTGTATTTTTTAATATGTTACTTCAAAACTTTTTTTATTTAAAAGCTGGTACTTCTCATGTGGTCTCATTTAAATATGATCAAGATCTGACCATTATTTTTATTTAAAAGCTGGTACTTCTCATGTGGTCTCATTTAAATATAATCAAGATCTGACCATTATTTTTTGAGCTATCCTCAATAATGCGTATTTAATTGACTTTAAATACATTGATGTTCTCATTTTATTTATATTTAAGTCGGTTGTACAAAATTATTAATTTTACTAATTTTATTTTTAATTACTAATTTTACTTACTTTCATCTTTATATGCTCTAGATTTTGACTTTTATTAGAGCTTATAAACTAGTCTAAATTAGATAAAAAAAGAAGACTTTGATAAGTGAATTATTCTGACCTTTCAGGACCAAGAGAGGAAACCCCTCGAGGAGCACCATGGGAAGGCGGATAAAGTGGAGCCAACGCATAATCATCAAGGGCATAATGATAAACATAATGAGAAGCAGGGAGATAAAAACAAGTCTGCAGGTAAAAATCTATTTTTTTTTTTAGTTTATAGGACTTTCTCTATCTATAGGAGTCTTTACACCACTCTCTTACATATTGCTGGTGACAAACAGCAGTCACTGTCAATCGAAACATTTTTTTTTCATCCAATGGTGAACAGTTCCTGGAGTCCTTGGCCACCTGCAATCAGTTTTAATAAAGAAGGCTAGATATGTTGCATGTTTGGGGAATGACTGACTGACTTACTATAATTGGAAGGAAGAAATCAGGCAATAGGATTTCACCTACCTTAATAAATCTTTGATGGAAAAGAAGTCACATCACCTTTAAAATACGAAAATACATACATAAACACTCACGCCTGTCACCCAGAGGGGTAGGCAGAGACTACAGACTTCCATTTGGCACGATCCTGACACACCTCTCTCGCCTCTTCCACATCCATATACCTACGCATACATGCTCGTCGGTTAAGGGTATTCTTAATTTGACCCATTTTTAATATGTAGCCAATATTATAGTTTATATATTTAATATAACCTTTAAAAGTGAATAATTATAATCTATATTGAATAAAATAGTTTCTGTCTGTTTCTATTTTCTTAATTTATAAAGCTATGTTAGGCAGCACGTAAAATAAAGAACCTAATCCTTTATACACGTCCATAGTGTGCCATTGGCTACAAGGCTTCCCACCAGAAGGACCGAGAACTGAAATTTATTAAATTCTTGATATTGAATTGATGCGTCGCGTTGAGAATTTTCTCGATGCGTTGCCTGACAGTTTTAACAATCAAAATGGTTTTTATCACCATTAGATCACTTTTTACGTGATAGAGCCATGCTGCAGTATTATAGTTGTAGCACGAATAAGTCGGCTCAACCGGGGAAGTTTTTCGTATGGTGGGTGTAGAGAACCGGAGACCCTTATTACTGAAAACGAGGCATTCCATCGTAGTCCTCAAGGGTGACAACGCATCTGCGTTTTGATTCTTAATCGATGATAAATGTAGATGTCTATGGGCCACAGCACCCACTTACCATCAGGTGGACTGTGTGCTTGTTTGTCACCCCCATTCTATAAAAATAAACTTAATATTTTGTTCATATTATGCTTGGAAATTGGAATAGGAAAACTTTGGATTAAGAAAAAGTACCACCTTTGTGTTTCAATACCAGTTTCGAAACAATCCCTTTGTGATCAAATCCCCGCCAAAACTACCCTAAATTTAAAAAAAATATAAACCTGCTTAAATCTATTAAATTATTTCAGGTGCAGGCAAGGGCGGCAGCAAATCCGGGAAACACAAATGGGTGCCGCTCGACATCGACGTGAAAGCAGCAAGACCCGGAAAGCATGGACCGCCGCATGCAGCGAGGCTTGATAACGGTCCGTATTTACAATGAACAGAATTAAATCATTTGTTGAAGTGAAAGTTTTTACGTGGTAGAGCCACGCTGCAGCTCTGTTATAGTTTAAGCAAGAACAGGTCGGCTCGACCGGGGAAGGACCGCGCTCTCACAGAATACCAGCGTGAAATTGTTGCTGTGTTCGTATGGTGAGTGTAGAGTACCGGAGACCCTTTTTACTGGAACCGAGGCATTCCATATTACTCCTCATTGGTGACACCGCATTTGCATTTTGATTCTTAATTGAGAATAAATATGGATGACTACCACAGCATTCACTTACCATGAGATGGACTGTGTGCTCGTTTGTCACCCAATGCTATATAAAAATAAAACTAGGCGCTGTGAGCGAATATTGGATGGGTTCTTATGGGTTTGTGTCACCAACGAGCTGAAATAGCAGTATATCTGTTGTTATATGTATGATATGTTGCTCTTTAACAACAATAAAATATCACATACTTGTATATAATATGTAATTATAGAAGTATATATAACAATACCACTGTTATTTCATAGTTTTTAGTGTTCACTTCTATCAGCAGTTTTTACTGTTAATTTTAGTTTATTAAAAATGCTACTCACAAGGAGTTTATTCTATATCATGGAGGCCTGTTGAACAGAAATTGGATGTAGATAAAATCCGATTATTCATGGGCCATACTAATACTTTTCCTGTGGCAGGGTAAAACTACCCCGTTCCTTCCCGTTAGTATGATACCCAAGGGAAAAAAAGGAGATTATGAGAAAGGACAGACCTTGTAGCCTTTAAAACATGCCAGCCAGAGTAGCATCTTGTAGACGGGAGGCAGCATGCAGCGAATGATTCAATGCATTGTCGAGGTGGTATCATTCTCTTGATTTGCTTTGTGGTAGAGCTACACTGCAGCTGTTTTATGGATGCAGCACGAATGAGTTTTTTAGACCAGGGAAGGACACCACACTCTCACAAAATATCAGCATTACATAGCCACATAATGCTGCAATGTTTCACGATATGGTGGGTTGTAGAGAACCTAAGACCCATTTTCCTGGTAATGAGGCATTCTTAGTCCTCAGTTGTGACAACTCACCTGCACTTTGATTTTGAATGTAGGTGTCTATGGGCCACGGTATTCACTTACTTCAGATGGGCTGTGGGCTTGTTTGTCATCCGTATTTCGCCAAACCAAAGCATACCACTGCAAGACTTCAAGATACTGTGAGCCCGTTCTGCATAGATCTGACTAGAAGTAATAATCAAAAGCCGAAGGTTTCATAGGTTAACTATAAAAAAAATTTTTTTAAAAGAATATTAACAATGCTATAAACATTACTAATATTCCCCTAACCACGGTAAGCTAATCTAAGCAAAAGTTATTCACCCACACCTTTTGAGTTCTTTCTGTGACATCAGAATGTCAAACTCAGTGTGCAATCATCTACTGTGAAGCCTTCGAAGTGTTACAAATATTTAATTTGATTTGTCCCGTAATTTAGGCCTCTTATCTCTTCTATATAGAGATCATGGGTTACGCAATACGGGTAAAGCAAATGTTTTTAGAAAACATGGAAAATATTACTTTATATTTCAATTGTTTTTTAGAAACTACATTTATAGTCCTTAATCGTGGCTCTATCGGTAAAAATAAGTAAAAATACAGTCCGCTGTGGGGTGGTGACATTAAGTAATTGATCATCCCATTTCGTCTCGTAGGTGGTGTCACAAGAGACATGGATGGTGGTTTAACCATCGATTTTACGTCAAACATAAATTACCTAGGGCGACGACGGGCAGCAACATCAGAGGAACTGTAATCCTCAATCCATCTGCCAAGAGAAAGCAATAAAACGTTAACAACAGCTTAACAATGAAAATAAAGATAAAAACTATATACTGTGTATCAACCGTACCAGTGTAAGAATATCCACTACTCCATATCGTTGCTCTCGTTATTTGTTCGAGTTGATACAATGAGCAATTAGCCAACTATATCAATAATATCATCATCAACACGGCCCATATCCACTTCTGAACATAGGTCTCCCCCAAGGAATGCTTAAGTCCTGTGATATAAGAGTATTTTTTTATATGTGTGAGCAGCTTTGCAGGTCTAGGAAAAGAGACCAGTTGAATAAAGTATCACTGTGACCTAAATGATCTATTGATTATTGATATAAGAGTAAGTCCTATAAGAGGCGACAGAGTGAAGAAACCAGGATACGGGCAGTAGTGTCTACTAAAACTTAACAAATTCCAGTTGCCAACTCGTCTGCCAAGTGTGGAATCTCTGGCAAATATCTGTCCTATTAGGCAATCAATAGGGAGGCTTTGTTTTAGCAGTAGGCTTTGATAAGGTGAATTAATGAATATCCTACACCACTGTTTTTCAACCTGTCGGTCGCGACCTCTAGCGGGTCGCTAAGTCATACTGAGCCAGTTGCAGTCGTAATACAGGTAAAAGTAAAAAGCAAGGATTTTAGGTTTTAAGCTATAATAAAAATACAATTTTTATTTTTTATACAATGGGTAATTGAAGTTGTATTTTTGAGATGTAAATCAATTTATTATGTGTTTCTTTTTATCATTTTACCTTTTATATTTACCATAGAAGAAATCGTTAGCTTATATAAGTAGGAAGTGGTGAATAGTACTCAGAATTTTAAAGCTTTTCTTGCTAGCTCTGAATATTCTTTATTTTCTTATTATACTGAAAATGTGAAGATTTTTACGAATTAAAATCGATTTTAACCATGCCGTTTGCAGCTTAATCTGTAAAATTTTCTAATATTTTATGGTAATTTAGCCAGTTGTACTGACTTTCTTAAATAGAAATGTTTTGATTTTGATTATGTATTTAATGTGACGGACGTTAAACTTCGAGAAGGGGCGGAGGTCATAATATACATATTCAGACTTAGAGTGTATATAATGTCCCTTAGATACGGTGTCGCTGAACGGCGAGGAAGGGCGAGGGGTTCGCGCGGGTGCGGGCGGGCGCGGGCGGGGTGCAGCGCGCGCTCGTGGCGGCCGGCGGCCCGCGCCGCGCCCCGCGTCCGCCGCGCCGCCGCTCCATCACCACGCGCTCTACCACCACGATTTCGCGCACCACGACCTGCCACAGGTAACCACACACACACGCACATCTACCCACTCACGTACTCATTACATTGCTCGCTCGATCAAACGAGCACATAGTCCACTTAATGGTAACTGGATACCACATAAACATCTACATGTATCCTCGACTGAGAATCTAAATGTCACACATGAGAACACACACCTGATTTTTATTGTTCACTTGATCAAATGGACACATGGCCCAATTGATGGTAAACGAATACTGTAGCACTTAGACGTTCATCTTGAGTTATCACATCTGAGGACTATGATGGAATGCCTCGTTTCCACTGAGAACAAAAGAGTCTGATTCTTTACACTCACTACAAGAAACAAGAAATTCTGCAGCGTTAAGCTGCTATTTTACGCTGTCGCTAAAGCTTGGTTCTTCCCCGATCGATGATACCCATTTATGCTACTACCATTATATAGCTGTAACGTGGCTCTACGACGTAAAAGCAACCGAAATAGTGACCAGTGAAATTCACCACTCAATATCATGCACGCAAAATAATCCCTTCTTGCTTCACCTCAGTCACGCGTGTTTCTGATAGTCTACCCACTTACGCACAATCTGCTAGTTGGAAGGATCATGAAACGTGATAGCCCTGCTGGTCCTACCTCCACACTTATAAACACAGCCACTGTGCTAACAAGTTGTCGATAATTACTCCTTCATTTAACCTGTATTTGCTACTTTTAACAGTGTTTCAAAACATTCGGTTTTCCGGTCTTAATTTAGATTATTTTCGTTAAAAAACAAGTGCTTTATTTTAACAACACGTAAGTGTATTTCAATTATAATGAATATCAACTTATTCTATTGGCGAGAAGATTTCTTGCACTTCTGATTTTTGACTCTACACATCGCCATTCTGAGTATTATTTTATCTCAACGATGAAGTATACCGACAATTCATAATCGTAATCTATCCGAGTTTTGGGATACTGTGACGAGATGCAAATCAAAACTGTATGATTTATTATTTATTACAACTTCAGTTAACTTTATCCGGCTTGTAGAGGACCAGAGCTTTAATATTATTTTTATTTGGCCTATTTTCTTACTATGCTTGTGTTTCAGGTTTGATTCACGTTTTTTTTATCCTAATTTTGAATATAAGCATTTACAAATTTATTAAATTATTATTAAACTAAATATAAATTTTCAATCATTTTGGTGTTACCTGTGAATCAAGCCTCAATATTAATGTTTTTTTTTTACGGGCAAGCACATAGCCTGAGCGTGTTATGCTCGTGGTATACAAATTTTTCTTAAAAACTTAAGAAGGATTTTCTATACCGAAGCTAGGGTCCTTGCTCCCAAAACTCCTATTTCCGCTTTGTCGGACACCATTTGGATCATTCATTTTGAGTACCATGGTTGTTTGGGATAACATGCTTTTATTATGCTACACACATAAGTATTCTGGTGAATTTTTTCTGAAATGAAAAAAAGATGTAACAGGTGAACGAAGTAGAAGCCTATGGTATAGATAATTTACAATATATTATATTTAAAAGTAAACTTAAATTTTGAAAATTAAAAAAATCGATTAATGTTATGAAATTAAAAATCCTTTAAATCAAAAAACTTTACTCGTGACCAGTATCAATAAATTTGTAACGGTCTTTACCGGCCGTTATGTAAAAGGTTTTAATTCAAATCAATTTGATAAAATTATTATGAATAAACAATAGGTAAATTTGTAAAACATCTAAACTATAGGCTCACCTAGTATACAACCTATTTTATTTTTGCAGTAAAAAGTCACCTAGTGTAATAGCTTCTTTTGATAGTTTCGGGGTGTATCTTATTTCAATTCATATTAATATTTGTCATTAAAATAATTTATGACTATTTATGTATGATTCGTAAAAGTAATATGTAAATTATTTTATGCTTGCATTAGTTTTTCATTTGTTTAATTTTACGGGTTTTATTTATTTATATTATGGAGCTCAAAATAATTCAAAATTACATTATCTCATTTGGTTCATGGATATTGGTCTTTTAATATGGGAAATTGTATTCTATAATTTAGTATTATACTCAACATTTAGAAATATTTAAATAAAGGGTTTATATTTAGTATAGTTTCACCATCATGCATACATTTCCATGCTATTGCGAGCCTCCGGTGGTAAAATGATCAGATACTTTGTTCTATTTACTTTTTTAAATAAAAAAAAAAACAAGAAACCGTTAATAAATTTAAAAAGTTATTAATTGTGTATAAAGTTGTATTGAATTTTTATCGAAAATGAAATATATTTACAAATGTAAACCACAAATTTTTATTGGTCAAAGTCTATTTTGTCTATTTTGAAGCGAAGAACAACTTTTTTATAAATATCAGTTATTCCTTAGTAGAAAGAAAGTGTCGCGCAAACTATTTTAATAAATTCAATTAGACTTACCGGCTGTAAAGATTTAACTAGATTTTGAAAACATTTAAAACTATGAAATAATTTTTACATTTATTTCAAATACTGAGTTTTGTTGTAATGTAATTAAAAATCGATAATTAGCTGTGAATTACAATAATTCAACTCAGTTGAACAAGTCATCAACTGGGTGAATAGATTATATTTTATTGTGCTAAATAAGATCGATTTATCTCTGGAGGGGTTACTTTTTAAACATGTGGTAGATGTTCAAAGCGCGATATAAGTGTATTTTAGAGTCTCGCGTGCCAATTCGTGCAGCGAGGGGTAGATAGGCAGAGGGAGGTTAGGGTAGGTAGGGCTCCGGAGGCCGCAGCAAGTCCCTTGTCCGTCCGCAGCTGCGCGTGGCTCAGGGCGTGGGCGTGGGCGTGCAGGGCCTCATGCTGCATTACGGCGCGCTGCACGTGGCCGCGCTGCCGCAGCCGTACTACTACGGCGCGCCGCCCTACGGACTGGGCCTCGACCACGCCACGCTCAAGGACCTCATCAAGAAGCAGATGTGAGTTTGACACACATCTTCATAAATGACCATATAGTGACGGTGCAAGAATATCCACTATCCCATATCGTCCTGTGAGAGCTGTAAGGGGCGACTTAGAGAAACACACCAGAAATTTACCAGCAACCTTATGACAACTAAAATAAAAAATAAAAACTATGCTTGTCAACTCGCCTGCCAAGCGTGGCACCGATGGCATACCCACTATGGTGAAAGTCTATGTTCAGGAGTGGATCTTTGATAGGCTGTAACAGTATTATTTAAAAAAAATGACGGGTTGCACTCCGGGAGTGCCGGCAGAAGTGAAAACTTGAATATTAACGTTGTGCATTTTTGATATTTTGGAATGGTTAGGGAATAATTTTGCACGAATTGCTTTAATTATCACACACGAACATTCGCGCAAGCGCCCTGAACCGCCTAAACGAAACAGCAGCCGCAGGTATACATTTTCGCCGCGCCGTAGAAAGAGAGGGGGATACTTCCTCTCCTACGCCGCGCCTGCTGTCTCTCTCTCTCTCCATCTGTCTTACGAATTTTCGATCAGGGTCACGTATCCTGACACGAGTTTAACATTTTTTACCCATTACAAAAAAGTGTACAGCGCCGCTAAAGAAGTTTTCACTTCAAAAAGTTCCGCTTGGTTTCTTGCCGGTTCTTCACAGGTCAGAGGTTTATTTTGAACCAGTGATAAAGCTTAAATGATTTTCAATAAGCATTCTCGTAATCTACATTAAATATTAATTATTCAATGCTATTCTATTGTTCTCGGAAGCGGAATCTATAAACGGTGGTCCGTTGTAAATGAGTTTGGAACTTGAAGAAAAATCTAGTATTTCTTCAATACATTTGTTCCGAGTGTTATAACCGTGTAGTGACGGTGTAAGAATATTTAATATCCCATATCCTCCCGCGGGTGACATGGAGATGATGATGAGGTGACCCGAAGAGATGACAGACGGAGACAGAAACAAGGGATGGGTAAGACAGGAGATCTTCCTGTAACTGCTAAATAAAAATAACAAACTTCGGCTATCAATCTGCCTGACAAGCGTGGCAACTATGGCAGGATCCCCATATGGTAGAGACCTATGTTCAGCAGTGAACTTTTATAAGCTATAATGGAATGGACAATGGTTATCATTAACGCATTTTTATACTTACAGCGAGTACTACTTCAGCGCGGACAACCTGGCGCGCGATTTCTTCCTGCGCCGCAAGATGGCGGCCGACGGCACCATTCCGGTGACGTTGATCGCGTCCTTCCACCGCGTGCGAGCTCTCACCGCGGACGTACAGCTCGTGCTCGACGCCATACGGGACTCCGACAAGCTGCAGCTCATCAACGGCTTCAAGGTGCGTACACGTACACGTACACGCACACGCACACGCATACAAGTTAATATTATTTTTTAAGTTGAAGTGAGAAACGAGCTAAGCTAACACAGTCGACTTTATGGGTAAGTGTCTATTGCAGGTCATCGACACCTGCAAGAGTAGACCATGGACCCCTAGAAAACTACAGATGCGTTATCACCTATAGTATCCAATTAAATCCAATGTAAGACTAAGATGGAATGCTTCACACTGCCTATATAACTAGAATGTAATCCAATAGGCAGTATAACTGCAATGTTTTCTAAACAGGTAGGCAAAGTTTAAAGAGCAGCAACTTTGACCATGTTTAACCAAAAAATGATGAAAATTGTGAAAGAAGTGATAGCTGGCGAATCAATCAATCACAAATGCAATATCCATAAATAAATATTTAACGTGGTACAGCCATGCTGCAGATATATTAAATATACAAGATGTTAGTGTAAACACCATTATCCTTGAAACCAGTGGTTTGGTTTCACTTATAGAACGTAAATGCAATGAAAAATAACAATTTTTTAGTAAGTAGCCAGGTCGAAAGTATGAAGGAAAAGTTACATTACAGGTTATGTGTACCTATTGTGTTTTTATTGGAATGTTGTGTAGGTAGCTAGCGCGGGCGGTGATCTTTACAGTGATTACGTCACTCGCTTTTAAATCTTTATTTATTATAGAGGGTTAGATCTACTAGATCAGGTCACCCTCATAGGTATACAGGTTTTAAGTCTTAAAAAACATGGAGCCTATAAGTCCCAAACCAACATAGCAACAATTATTTAGAGGTTTTAATGAAAAAAATGTTTATTTATAGTGTAATTGGTTTCCGGCACAGGTCCGAACAGCTATCGAACCTACGAAATGGCCAATATTGGATATCACATCGGGGACCATCTCCGATGAGGCTGATAAAAACGAAAAGACATATAAACTAGAGAAAAACGAAAAAACTGACAAACCGACTGAAGATAAAGGCATCAAGGATAAGAGCAAAGAACCTTCCACGAATACAGCAGATAAATCAAAACCGGATGAGCCAAAAAATGATGCAGAAGTAGCGAAGAACAAAACTGAAGAAGTGAAAGAAGAGATCAGTAAAAAGAAAGTAGAGAAGATGGAAGAAGCACCGAGTATAGAAAAGAAGGAGAATGAAAAAGAAACTCGATATAAGAAAGAAGATGAAAGTCCTAAAGAAACATCCGTTAAGACTGAGGTATGATATATTTTTTAATTATTAATGTAACAAACAAAAATATTATTTTCAAATGTAATTGATAATAAGTTCAATATTTATTTAGAAATATATTGAAGCTTCTATCACAGACGGCGCCTGTAGTGAACGCTAGTGAACAGAAGCCCATTGAGGTGAAAGAAGAGGAGAAAAAAGAAGTGAAAACACAAGAGTCTGAAGAGAAAGAGAAGAGAACGACCGAGTCCAATGAAGATCCTCCGCTACAATCCGAGAACACTGAAGAGAAACCAGGAGAGAAAAAGTGAGTTGAGTTTTTATTGTAAACTAGCTATTCTTCGTCCGCGTTGAATTCATTACGATTGGATTTAATGTTTTTTTTTCCATGGAACCCTAATTCTTTTTCTAAAATAATATTAGCCTAACGCTTCGCATACACCTAATCCGTCAGCGGCCGAAGTTTGCTCGGGCGCTGACGGCCGAACTCGGACGATCGAATCAAACACTTGTAAAACAAAGAGAGCGCGTACACCAACACGACCGTCTTCGTCCGATAACGCACGAAAACGGCCGATCAACCGTCGAGTCCGAACTTGTTGGGATTTCTCGACCGACTGCCGGCGTCTACAATGCAAATAGAGTGTATTTGTAGTTTAATTTAATCATTTTGTCTTTATTCTGTAGTTTCTGTCAGTGTTGTTATCTACCTAAACGACTGTGGATATTGAAAATATAAAAATAGAAACGAATACCGGCAACGTCCAATTTCGGCACAAGTGGTACACTGTTGCAGTGTAAGCACATGCAATGCAACTCAATCTATATATTTAAAACATACATGATTTTTAACATTGATATGGTCACTATAAAATGTTGTTAGGTTAGCTAATACAACAAAAAAGAACCCAAAAAACTACGTAGAAATTTAAAGGACCCCAAAAAAAAAAAAATAACTTAAAACACAAGGACCCTTAAGTAGGGACTGAATAAATTAACCGACTTGGTATTACATGGATCTCGCAACTTTTTATGGCTTAGAAGACTGAGTTGCGAGACTTGGTTTTTTTTACAAGTTATGTTTTTGATGGCATTTATTTTTACGGAGTAATTTATTTTTAATTAAAAAAATAGCAATTGATCTAAAATTATCTTTTCAAAAATTTTACTGAGAGTTGGTGGTACAGAAATAGATATTACATTAGTGGGGTCCAATGTACTACCAGATTTAAAAAAAAAGGTATTACTTTACTATGTTTCATTAAATCAGGAAACACACCAGATTCGTTACTAGTATTATAAATAATAGCAAGATGAGGTGCAATTAAATCTGTTATTAATAACCGTAACGGTAATCCCTCAAAAATCTGCGGTTTTCTTTAAATCACCGTGATGCTTTTCATAGCGGTCGTGTACACACTATGCGATTGCGTTTCCAACGCGGTGATAGTAACGCAACTCAACCGAACCGCAAGTACTTACTCATGTATTATGCGGCTCATACGTGTTGCTACAAGGAATTTCATAAAATACTAGTGATCCGCCCCGACTTTTTTTTTTGAAAAGAATATTAACAATGCTATAAACATTACTAATATTCCATTTAATCACTCGTGATAAACTTAAATTGCTTGTGTTACGAGTGGTTCATGCCAGTAGTTGAATGGCGGATTCGAACCCACGACCTTTTTGAGTTCGCGGTCCGCGCCCTGCCATTAGGCTACTGTCTCTGCACTTTGCACGGGTGATTTCTGGATTTCGACAACAGCGCCACCTACCGGCTTCAATTGAGTTTTTAATCCATCTAGGGACCCACTGTAATACACACAAAATAATTCATAAATATCGGTCAAGCCATTTTCTAATTTTTGCGAGAGTAATATACAGCAATAGACTTATATATAGAGAAGATTTTAGACATAATAGAGCCACGCTGCAGCAGTTCAACTAGGGAGGGAACACATTCTCACATAATACCAGTGCTAAATAGCAGCACAGTCCTGCTGTGTTTAATGAGATGAGTGTAGGGAACAGGTGACCCTCTTTACTGGCAAAGAAGCATTCCATTCATCTTGGCACTCAGGAGTGACAAGGTATTTGCAGTTTGATACTTGAGGGTAGATGTAAGACCTATAAGGTCACAGTATACCTTCAATTAAGTCCACTTAACACCAGACAGTGTGTTTTCTTGTCAACCTGACTCCTATAAAAAACCTAGTTTTGGCATGTAGATTTACTTAAAAAAAATCTCGTTTTTTTAATGATGCTTTATAATTTTGCTAACCTAGACTTGAGCTCAAACCGGCTGCAATTGCGCTTAAAAAAATTTTGCGCAGTTTGCGTGTAAACGTGTGGTTTTAATATCTATTTTGCAGTTGTAAGTACAGATGGGCCGAATATTCGTTTCATATTCGGTATTCGGCATATTTGACAGCTTTACAGAATATTCGGCTAAATCACCCAACATTCGTTAAAGTGGTACTAGTGGTAAAGTGTGCACTGTATTGAAATGTACGAATTGAGTAATGCCATGTCTTTCATAATTTTACTGTTGAAAGTATATTTTATTTACGGGTTAAATCTACTTGTATAGCGTTATGTTTTTGCGGCACTGTAGATTTATTTCCAATTATAATAAATAGAAAGCTTGATAAAATGTTTTTAGAAAAAAAGAAACATTACATTAGTATATTTCACTTTACTTGTGTCGTCAATTTCTCTGTAAATTAATTAATAAGTCCAAATAGTAGATCTCCTGCTTCTCATTTTTATCATATAGTTATCAGTTTTCACTAAGAATAACACAATGAAATACTTTTACTTCTTACAAAAATAGTCAAAACATATGCATGTGCTGGCAATTTGCTCAGTACTGGATGATGAGCGAGGGGCACGGTCCGGCGGTAATACCGCGCGCTTTACTGTAACAAGTTTCGACATAAATTGGTTGGGTACCGTGATCCTGCCGAATAATGTTCGGCCGAATATTCGGCTCCAAGAATACTATAATACACAATAAAATGGCTGTCAACTTTACTTTGTACGAGGTTTGGCGTCGCCAAACCCGATTCGCTGTGTAGACAGACGGAATAAATTTAAACATTTTAGACTTTTGATTAACGTTCAAGACCATTATTAAAAAATCGTTTAAATTTTAATACATATTTGTAATGCCATTTGGCATTTTTTAAATAAAAAATAAACATTTCTTCGCAACCTTCCGCTAAATAAATACAATGATGTGTCTTACCTGGATGGAAGAGCACCTCCCGCCCTCCCTTATTTGCATGCACTAACTCCGTCACCACTACTCCCAACACCACTATTCCAGGTAACACACCATCGCCGATAATACGACACGTGTTTCGCCTCTACACGAGGCATCTTCAGGTAATGTGGTCTCTACGGCGGCTTTATTATTACAAACATTCCTAAGCGAATTGTTTGTTTTGAATGCCACGTTAACGCCGTTTTTCTTAAGAGTATTAGCTATTTTTTCCGATATGGAGCCTAAGTAGGTCAAACTACCCACATATCGCCGGACACTTTAAGATCGAACCGCGTACAAAGAATTGCGAACAACATGCTAAACTTTAATGATAATTTTAAGAACAATATCAATAAAACAATAATAATAGTAGTATTTAAAAATATTAATCATAACAATAATGATAATTAGTAGCAGGTTTGTTATCGCACGGCGCGGTCACTAGCTACTTTGGTGGGGAGCGATTGTGTCGGCGTGTATAAATAGCAGGTGTTTCGGCTCGCCGCTCACTTAGCGGTCAGCCGCCGTAGAGTCTACATTACCTGAAGATGCCTCGTGTAGAGGCGAAACACGTGTTGTACTATCGTCGATGGTGTGTCTTACCTGGAATAGTGGTGTTGGGAGTAATGGTGCTGGGACTAGTGGTGACGGAGTTAGTGCATGCAATTGAGGGAGGGCGGGAGGTGCTCTTCAATCCAGGTAAGACACATCATTGTATTTATTTAGCGGAAGGTTGCGAAGATATTTTTATTTTTTATTATAATGGATTTCCGCAAAGTAACGCCTGATTTATCAATTATTTTTTAAATAATTTGCATGCGAAATTTGGAAACGATTGTAATGTCAAAACACATCTCGTGTTGACATTTTGACGTGTGAATTAACGTATCAGTGACATTTTAGTGGCTACACGGGCTCCGCCCACTCCCCCGTTATGTATGTATTATAGTATTCTATGTTCGGTTCGGTAAAAGTTTTACCGAACTTTCGGCCGAATATTCGTATTTGGTGAAATCCATATTCGGCTCATCTCTAGTCGTAAGCTTCCATAAAAGTTCTATAGTTGTCACTAAGGCTGAAACCAGCAACCAGAACATAATTTTCATTAAGTGTTCATAGTCACGAAACATGTAAGTATTATTTCGTTTAATTCTGTTGTTTGTCCACAGACGCAAGAAGCAGATGGTGGGGATATTCCCTTTAGCTACGATGGGAGGCCCGCTCGTAGCCCCGGTGTCAGGCCTTCTGCGAGCTGTTCCTCCTCCACCATTACCCAGGTAAAACAAAAATTTTATAGAAGTATAAAACATCCAACACTTAAGCTAACTATAAGTGGCTTTTGCAACCTATGAACACCTGCAACTAACTTTGATTAAAACTACTTTTACGGATTTTATCGCGTTTAATTTTAATTTTTATTTTTAATTCCCGACGTTTCGGATGCTTTCCCCCGTAGTCCCCCGTGACCATGGGTGCTAGATAGCACCCGAAACGTCGGGAATTAAAAATAAAAATAATTAAAAGTAAAATTAAACGCGATAAAATCCGTAAAAGTAGTTTTAATCAATGTGTAGTGTTCGCGTAAATATAATAAATCATTATTGATCAATAAACATTGATCATATTCAATTATATGTATGCTGTAATGATATTCGTAAGAAAACTAGGTTATAGTCATGAAATTGTTATATTATCATAAGATCTTAATATGTATATGTATATATGGAAAGACTGAAATTATTATGATAATGATTACTCTAAAATATATATTTATCTATTTAGCTTTTTGATGTATGTTTAAATTCTTGCTTATGAGCCCCCGAATAAGGAAACTAGCACCAGTCTGCACATAGCCACAGAGGATCACAAAGGAACAGGCAAAATACATACATATAAGTACATCCGGTACATTAAGAAAATAATGCACAATGATCATATTACAATTTGTTATTAATTCTTTGGGCAGAATGTTCCGGACTGCACGAACAGCGGCCCGTGATCCGCTCAACCCCGATGTGCCCGAGTTTGTGCCGCAAGCGAGACGCTCCGGTAAGCATCAGGGAAAGAGATAAATAAATACACATCTTGTTCGCAATTATAATACTTCCGAATTTTGTTATAATCCAATATTTTCCGTAGCTGTGACGTAGACATGTGTCATTCGTTCATTTCCAGTGATCATTCCAATATTGATTCGTGTTACGAACCGGGTCATTCGGGTCGATCATTCAAATGTGAAATTACTATAGAAGTATCTGAGATCTGGTTCTTTATTAGCCTGGCCGCATGAGCTCACTAATTTATTTGCGTGATAAAACTCGGTAATGAGGATATGTGTAGTAGAACCAAAGTAATCAACATAGCTCAATGGATCCATGATTAGATGAAGAAGAAAGGTCCTCAAGACCTCAAGTGCTACCTCGATCCAGTAAGCTAGTTTTAGGGCTGCCCCTTTATAGATATAGTGACGACCTCGTAAGAGATGCAGGAAGTCAATATATTATGTAGGTGAATCAGGGCCACGCTTTGTGGCATTCCTTGGGGAAAGCCTATGTTAAGCAGTATAGGAAGTAGGTATTGCAATTCCTGCGCAATTTTAAATGTATCCTGTAAAACAATAGACTGTCTAAATACACACAATACAATAGAAATAATTTAGGTGCAGGTGTAGAACTTGTTAACATAAAATCTTATGTTAAAATGAACAGGGTATAGAGGGATCGTTGAATCTTATTATTTATTTAGTAGAATATTAATTATTGAAGTGCATAATATGTCCACTCCCAACAATACATATTTATTGCAGGGAGTTACTGCGAAATGAGTGCTATAGCATATGTATTGATTAGGCGTTCCAGGTTAAACTTTTAAGTTCTGTCTGGGTGCAATATTGATACTACAGTCATTCTATTACTTGTGTAGTAAGAAAATTCATCACCCGGGTGTCGTAAGACGACTAGGAGAAATGCCAAAAAAATATTACGGCATTCAATAGAGATAATCATCACATCTTTATTTCATATAATAAGGGTGACAAATGTCCCATCAATGCACAAATGTCCACTTGATGGTAACTTGATATTGTGGCCTATGGACATCACATCTATTCTTAATTAAAAATCATATTGCAGATGCATTGTCAGTTGTCACCCATGAGGACTAAAATGAATTTCTCGTTTCCAGTAAAAAGGGTCTCTGGTTCTCTACACTTACCATACGAAACGCAGCAGCATTAAACTGCTGTTTTACGCAGGTATTCTACGAGAGTGTGTCCTTCTTCAATCGAGCCGACCCATTTATTCTGCAGCCATAATATAGTTGCAGCATAACTCTACCACGTAAATGTGTAGTTAGATTAGTTTATTTTACTTTACGACCGGCTGTTTTCCGCAACTCCACATCTATTTAAGTGCGTATTTTACGTGTGGGCAGGAATATTGTGACTATTCGAACTATGAAATCTCCCCGAATAAGTTGACGGTGCTCTGATCCATTTGTCCAACGATCCCGGTATGCCGGATGTTTAGCTATGTATGCGGGACCTCAGAACATGTTAGCAACACGTGGGCTGCCGATTCCTACTACCGCATGCATGCACTGCACAGGGCACGCATGCGGTATGTATGTAATAAATATTTGTTAAAGAAGCCATGTCCTATAATAGCCATGAGAATTGGTATCTTAATTGATTGTGGAAGTGAATTTTGTATGTCATAGACATTTACATGTATCATCGGTTGAGAATCGAAATGGAGAATCGTCACCCCTAAGGACCTAAGATGGAATGCATTATCAGTATTATAAAGATATTCAGTTTTTATCACTCGCTATACAATAAACAATATTGTGCTATTTAATGATGGTATTTCTTTGAGAGTTTAAGTCTTCCTCTAGTCAAGTTGGCCTATTTTTTATGTGTATTATGAAATTTAAAACACGCTTTCTACATTTGGGTTTTAATCATAAAGGCTTTAAGAAAATGTCTGAATAAACTTTTAACTACCTTATAATTATCCACTCAAATGTCTGAGCCAATATGGCGCATCTGTCGAGCACTTTCCGAAGTATTAAGTAAGTATATAACAAGTATACTAAGTATATGTATATGTATATATATATATATATATATATATACTAAGTAAGTATATTAAAATCATGTCAATGGAAATGTTATTAAATAAGCTATCAGATTATGCATAACGGATATATATGTTATATTATGTATGTTATATATATATCATATATATGTTACAAATAGTTTGCTATCACTCATCATATTTCGTTTACAATGCGCATTCGACGCCAGAATATGGTGTTTGGATAGACGAGGGGATGTAAAGGATGGTCCTAAACCCTCACAGTTTCTGGGTAAATATGGTAAAAAATATTTTGTTAGGTTTTGGTCATTAATATTGTAATTTATGTTTGCAGAAGACGTAACAAATGACCAGTCAGAGCAGCAAGAAGGGAAGCAAGGCTTAGGCAGCGGGAGCCCATCTTCAGAGAGAAGCAGTTCAGATATTTGGACAGAGGTAGGTTTGTCGGATTATTTAGCTTCAGGATAAAACATAATTCGTGTCCTTAAACTAATATATAATGAAACTTAACAATTTTCTGCATGGGACAAAATTTGACAAAAGTTTTTACATGCCTTCCAAAATCAATTAACTGTTTTTAAAATTAAAAATATAAGTAATTATAGGATAATTACTTATATTTTTAATTTTATGTAGAAATTTTTTAATTTTTACTTTTATGTAGAAAGAACGAATGAGGAAAGACTGACAAAGCGAATATATGTTGCAGAAGTGAATGGAAGATTCGGAAAGGGACGTCCTAGGCGAAAGTTTGTCGACTAAATTGGCGATATACTAAAAATGGGCCAAATTAAGAGTACCCTTAACCGACGAGCATGTATGCGTAGGTATATGGATGTGGAAGAGGCGTGAGAGGTGTGTCAGGATCGTGCTAAATGGAAGTCTGTAGTCTCTGCCTACCCCTCTGGGTGACAGGCGTGAGTGTTTATGTATGTTTATGTATGTAAATATAAGTAATTCGAGCGAAAACATACATGCAATATAAAATCGTGCAATAGTTTGAAGAATATATATAATCATAGGGAGTGCAATTTTTTAAGCTTTATTTATATAATATGTAAGGAAACTTTTTAAAAATTCTAACATAGTTTTTTTTTATTGTCACCATATTCGTTACAATTTTTATATTTCACTTTTATATAAGGTGAATATTCGCATTCATTGAACCAGACATCCAGGCTAAAGAACGCAAGGGTCCAGCTCAATTCGTGCCTCCAGCAGCTGTGCGCCAAGACCAAGTAGGTCACTGGCCAGTATGGGTCGAAAAACGTATCCGTTGCAAGCTCCCTAATTGCTCTGGCAAATCACAGACCATTTGTGAAAAGTATGGAGTTGCATTGTGCAACAACAAACAAAACAATTGTTTTAAAGCGTTCCGTTCTTCTTAGTGGAACACATTGCAGCAATGTACCCGTAATGGCACACTCCCTTTATTTTTATTTTGTGAGGTAAATATTTAAAAAAAAATGAAAATTAAAGAATACGTATTTTCTTATTTTCCAAATTCTACCCTAACAGCTACTTTTTATTAAATAATATTTTATTTAGTTATAAAGGGTTATTATTAATTTATGTTTAGAAGTTCATTACAGCTTATAAAAGTCCAATGCTGAACATAGGTCACCCTCATAGATTGGCTCGTGAAGGGTTTGGCAATAGTTGCCATGCTTGGCAAGCAGGTTGGCAACTGCAGTATTTTATTATTTTGACTCGTTATCAGAAAGATGCTGCCGCCCATCTCCGGTTTCATTTTTCCTCTGTCGTTCGTTTCGATCGTTTAGAAGTCATTATATAAAATTAAATGAGTAAATAGAAGAGTCGGTAGGGTCGGTAAATTGGCGATATATTGAAGATGAACCAAATTAAAAGTACCCATATGAAAGAACTAATATGAAAGAAGCGAGAAAGGTGTCAGGATCGTGCCATATGGAAGTCCATAGTATCTGCCAACCCCTAACAGGCGTGAGCGTTTATGTATTGTAGGTATGTATATCAAATGAATTCCGCATAGAACGATAAGATTTAGTATGAGAGTAAACAGGCTTCAATCGCCAAAGTCGTCACTGAAATTATTAACGCAATTTTAATTGTTGATTTACCTACCACTTGCTAGGTGGCCAAAAAGAACATGGTGAGAAACCTGCATGTCAGACATTCAACAGATTAATTAAATAATTACAGATATTCAAAAAATCACTGTTATGAATTAGAGGAGGAACAGCCTGTAGGCTGTTAAAACATAACATATATAACACAAACACTCACGCCTGTCAACCAGAGGTGTATGCAAAGGTAACGGACTTCCATTTGCCACGATCCTGACATACCTTTCGCCTCCTTTACATCCATATATCTACACATACACGCTCGTCGGTTAAGGGTACTTAGCTGTTAAAAACTGCATCCTATATACATCTACTTCTTGACCACAGGCCTTTCATTTTTGAAAGGGGACAGATTTCACCTCTTTGAAATATATATATTTTTTTAATTTCTCAGACATGCAGAAATCTAAAAATATATACGTGGTAGAGCCATGCTGCAGTTGTATTAGTAGTATAGTCGTAGCACGAATGGGTCGGCTCCACCGGGGAAGGACCACGCTCTCACAGAATACCAGCGTAAAATAGTAGCTTAATGATGCTGTGTTTCGTATGGTGAGTGTAGAGAACCGGAGACCCTTTTTGCTGGAAACGAGGCATTCCATCTTAGTCCTCATGGGTGACAACGCATCTGCATTTTGAATCGCATACGAGGATATATTTAGATGTCTGGGCCACAGCAACCACTTACCATCAGGTGGACTGTTTGCTCGTTTGTCACTCTATCCTATAAAAAAAATCCTCACGATGTTTTTCATCATCGCCGAGCATGTGGTAAAATGAGCACTTACTATTAACAATTTCTACATGAATAGAACCCGGGTTGCTCGCGTACTGTGATATCTACAGCGAGCCTTTTAGCTCCTGTGCTACAATGGCTCATTATCATGTAGGCTGTTAGTTTACTTTTTACATAAAATAATTGACATCCCACTGACATGACTATTTGTAACTTACAGGTGAAAAGACGCACAAAAGCGGGTTCCCGTGAGAGGACGTCCACAACAACCACCACCGCAACACAACCTCCGGAAGAGGAACCACGTGAAGAGCTACACTTCCAATTAGATGAGGAACTGGATTTACCTCCTCCGAGGCAAAACACTTTCACTGATGCTTGGTAAGTAAATTGTTGCATCTTTAAATCTTGAATATAAGATTTCTTAACTCTTTTAAATTTTATGTTTACCTAAAGTCATCCACATTTTAATTAGAAAGCAAGACAGATAGATGCCTGCAAATTATTCTACCCTTTTGCTCATGGAGGTTAGAGAACAGGAGAATGTTCGCTGTAGAAAATAGTGTCCCAGAAATATGGACGCCATAAGTGAGGCGATGCGATCGCTAAGTTCGCTCAATAAAAGTCATTTTCAGTCTATTTTTCCGATCAGTCACTTGTACATCCACATACACTAAAATATTTCTCCATTTTTTAATGTTTCTTTTTGTCAAAAATTAAAAAATTACGGAGCAAAAAAATTTTCTCACCAATGTCGCGAAGAAAATTTGTACATTATTCAACTATCTTCATCTACTTGTACTCATAAACAGCTAACTTCGCAGTCACTACTCACCGACGTCAGCGCCGCTTTATTATATTCTACAAATTTTCAAGGACAGGCGGGCTGTGCTTTAGTACGTAGCGTCCGTTCTCCTGTTCTCTAATCTCCATGCTTTTCTGTACACTGCAAATGTCAAAGCAACCCCTTTGGTTTGAATATGTGGTGTGTAAACAACAAAGGGGTTGAGTCCAGAGCTAGTCCAATGTTTTCTGACGGTGGAAGGGAGAAAGAGGAATTCATCTATTGCAATGCCTGCACACACTCTCTGAAATGTATCACGGATGTTAATGTAGTAGCTGAAAATTTCGTTGTTTTACTGTCACACATTACAATAGAAATAATGTATAAGTGCCAGTAGAAGTTCACAAAAAATATGCTAAAATGAACAGGGTATAGAGGAATTATTAAATCTTTATTTATTTAAGAGAATATTAATATAATTATTTTTAAATGTTATTTATAAGAATATAATTCTTTGAGAATTATATTATAAATAACATTTAAAAAAGAATCGTCCTGAGCACTCTTATCTATGGTTTCGAGTAAACTTAGTGATCATATACTCTTTGGTTCTAAGGCGTCCTTCTAAATATTAGTATACTCTTTGGCGCGGTATAAAGGAGACATTTAGAGGATCCAATTGGATCCTTCGGCCTTTTAAGGGTTAATAAGTAAAATGCACAATATGTCCACTCCCAACAACACATAATTATTGTAGGGAGTTACTGCGAAATTAGTGCTATAGTATATGTGTTGATTAGGCGTTCCAGGTTAAACTTTTATGGTTTTATCTGGGTGCAATGTTGATACTACAGTCATTTTATTTTTTGTGTAGTGATTGCAAATATTCTGGGTGGTGGCGTTGTGAAAGAGTAATTGCCTCGTTTTTCCTATGGACGCCCTAATCGTAAGAAGACTATGAGATATGCTACAATAGTTTCTGATGCATGGTGGTATAACCAATAACCATTACGGCAACGCATATATTTCACGATTTGTTTTTTTGAATCTGTGGCCATTAGCTAGCTGTTCAGCCCGATGAGCGGCCAATGCTTCTAGTAGTAGTACGAAGCTATTCTATATATACTGTTTTACTTCGTAACTTTGATAGCGCGATTGAGGCTTCGACGTGTTTCGCTTATGGCGCGACGACAGTGCTGACACAAATCTTATAAACTTGGTTTTTTGGAACATGATGGTTGAAAATTGCAACTATCAATTACTGCACTAGTAGCATTTAAAAAAATTGTTTGTGGATTAAGAAATTTAAAGGAAGCTTTCTGCACTTGGGTCAAAATCTTTAAGAAAAATGTCCAGAAAAACCATGGTATCTGATAAGTGATAATATGTGCAATAGACTCAAAATTATTTTTATGTCTATAGATATTATATTATTGATAAGTTAAATGTTGAGCATGAAACAATAATTAGTCAATGGATACAGGTGGCTTAAGACCGTGTTTGGTGACATTGCTTGGGCAAGGTCTACATTTAGCAATAGACTTGTGAAGGTTCGAACCCACGACCTTTTTGAGTTCGCGGTCCGCGCCGTGCCATTAGGCTAAAATCGCTTAAATTTGCAATGGTGATGATGATATTGATGAGGTATTATATTACCTGACCGCCATTGGTCTGGTGGTCGTAAGCTGCTGATCACGAGGTTCCAGGTAAGAATCTAGGCTCGGGCTAAAAAATCGGTTACTAAGTTTTTCTGTCGAGAAGTTATCAGTAGCTGCCTGGAGCCAGGAAGGTTTTAGCGGTTTTTAAACCCCGTGCCTCGAAAAGCATGTAGAGCTGTTGGTCCTGCGCCTGATCTCTCTCCGGTGGTGTCGAGTTACTGTCTCATCAGACTATGAGAGTGAGGGAACAGAGAGTGCACCTGTGCTTACAGATACACTTGGGCATCATAATCCTGCTCTGCGCTGATGGCTAGTCTTTGTTGAGGCTGGCTGCCGTGACCGAAAATTGTTCTGGAGAACATTATCATATTGTCTTAAATTAAATATGTAAGATTTCCATTTGTATCGTAGTTAAGATGTAGTATGTGTTGGTTTCCAGGTCGGACGAGGAGTCGGACTTTGAGTTCACGGACCGCGACGTGGGGCGGCTGCTGATCGTGACGCAGACGGGCGTGCGCGCGCCCAAGCACGACGGACACGACCGCCAGGGCGACTGGACCACGCGCACCAAGATCACGCAGGACCTCGAGCAGGTCGCTCACTCATTCACTCAATCATTCATCATAGTCATTTGTGCAGTCATTTGTTCAATTACATATTCAGCCAGTTATTTATTCATTCAATGATTTATTAAGTCAGTAATACTTTCTTTCGGTTATTTATTAATTCAATAATTCATTCGCTCATTAATTTATTAATTTAGTTATTCAATCATTCAGTTATTTATTAATTCAGTAATTCACTTATTTCATAATTCAGTTTTTCATTCATTCGGTTATTCATTCAATCAGTAATTCATTAATTCACTTATTCATTAATTCAGTTATACATTTATTCATTCAGTCATTCATTTATTAATTCATTATAGTTTACTAAAAGTAGATAACGAAAAGTAGTAAATTTTGGAATTATTTGTTATTTTAGTTTGAAAAAAAGAACCTTTGGATCATTGTTTCGACGAAGTTAAGGTTTGGATCATTTCTACATAACATTTTTTTTGATTGGGGGTAATAAACAAGCACACAGTACACCTGCTGGTAAGTGGATGCTGTGGTCTATAGACATGTACATTTATCCTCAATTAAGAATCTAAATGCAGATGCGTTGTTACCCGTGAGGATTAAGATGGAATGCCTCACTCGCATTAAAAAAGGTCTCCGTACTGTACTATAGAGAAAAATCACCATACGAAACACAGCAGCATTAAGCTGCTATTTTACGCTGGTATTCAGTGAGAGCGTGGTCCCACTCCGTGCGTGCTACAACCATAATATAGCTGCAGTGTGGCTCTAGCATGCAAAATATCCAGTCGTCACACTTAGCAAGCGATCACGGGCTTGCAACTGCTTCGTTTTATTATTATTCTCTATTGTTATTTTTATTATTAGGAGAATGTTCTGTTGCTTCTTACGACTTCTGTTTATTTCCTTTTTCCAACTTGTTAAATTTATAATGTTTCTATACAGAATGGGTCCCACATATATGCAATAAATGAAACCATATACTTGTTATCGCCTTTGCTGACGATATACAAAAAATGAACGTAATCGGTCCAGTAATTAGGTCAAAAAGTAGAGTTTTAATTTTAAGCAAATTTGAACATTCTATAGAATTGGGTCACTAAGTCAATGATTCAATGAACTTGAATCCTTGAACATTAAAAAGCGACGTTGCCACGCAGTGCAAACTATTGGTATTGCGACATATCGACAGCGGTGTCTTTTGTCGGCGTGCCACCCGCGTGCAACGTTGTCACTCTTTCAAGGGGTCAAGGTACGTTGTCTAAACAGAGTGTTCACTTTTACTGAATTTATTTTAATATTTATTTTGTTTGAAAATTTCACTTTTTTTATTTTACGGGTTTTAATTTAATATTTAATTTTTCTACACTTCTACGGACTAGTATTACTTGTGGCTTCATTTATTGCATTATATGTGGGACCCATTCTGTATATCTGTGTCCTAGTGCTAAAAGGGCCAAAGTAAGTTTTTATTAAACGGTACAGTACTATACAGTAGCACATATTTTATTTTATTTAACAGTATGGAAGTACACATTACATTGGCATTTTTACATAGTATCTTTTGAAAGAATATCAATAAACGTACGCCCTTTTAGCACAAACAAATTTCATATTTTTCAATAATACAGCTTTAAAATCTCATTTCTTAAAAAACGTACTTTGGCCCTTTTAGCACCAGGTCACAGATATTTATTTAATATTTTCAACTTATCAAAAGTCCTTTTGTTGATATTATGACGAAAATATCATTTTATGGCTGTCAATAAAATTAAGCAAGTACTTTTACGTCCGTTTTCCAGTAGAATAAAGATGCCTAACAGTCGTCAACTAGGTTTCGGTTCTTTTTCTGGTTCTAGTATTTTTTCATTATAGCCTATTAAATTCTTCAGCTGAACATAAGACTCATATGGGGATATTTGCCATAACTGCCACGCTTATCAGGTGGCAGGTAGGTGGGTGGGTTTAAGACGCCACTGCTCAACTCTTGGTTTGTTTGCCTCTGTGGCCTCTAACGTCACCCATGGAATGAATTGGAGAAACTAGTGAACATTAAAGCGCCTTGTCTCTCTGCTTACGGCATACGCTTTACATCCGACACGGGTCGATAGGCGCAATGATAAATACTTGTTACCTAATTAGAATTGAAAGGAGAACATTATTTATTTAAATTGTTCTTACACAGGTGATCACGGATGGACTGAAGCGCTACGAAGAGGACTTGTGGAATGATTCGGAGTACACATCGGTAAGTGTCACTTATAAACGAATTGATATTAAAAGGCTTGAAGGGTAGTTCACTTTTATGAATAAATATTTGAGTAAAAGTAAAAAGTTACAGCCTGTATACGTCCCACTGCTGGACACAGGCATCCCCTCATTTCTGAGAGGTTTTATGGCAAGGAAGTGTTCGGCGCGCTGCCCAAATGCGTCTTAGCGAACTTCACATGTTTTCGAAAAAAAAATTTTTCTTATTCCTCAGACATGCAGGTTTCCTCACGATGTTTTCCTTTACCGCCGAGCACGTGGTATATCAACATCTCAACTGCAATTAACAATTTCATTGGTGCCGGCGGGGATCGAACCCGGGGTATTCGCGCTCTGTTATCGGCTCTGAATAAACATTTAGGGAAAAATATTATTGTTATGATTTTGAAATTTGTTCTTTCGAAATTTGAAATCCTACGTACTTCAGGTTCCTGCAAAATTCGAAGAGACATTACTCGCTCCCGATTTCTGGCCCTCTGGAGTAGTGTTTCTCCGATACAGGGACGCGCCAAAGAAGAAAGTTCCTATTTATATTTTATATATATTTTAAGTTAAGGTATATTATTGCTATGGGCCAATGTTCTTAATTTTTAAGTCCTAGATGTCTGAAATAAATTGTATTGTATTGTAATTTAATTGTTTTTAATGTAAACTATATCTTAGGATATATTATTTTTTTTGAAAATTTGAAAGTTGAAGAATGCGGGTTAAGAATGGGTGAGTTAACCATCAAATGCATTTTGTACGCCGATGATCAAGTCATACTTGCGTCGTCGGCGGCCGAGTTGCAAATGATGGTTACATTAATGAACAGGTCATTAAAAGAAAGGGGAATGAAAGTGAACGCAAGTAAGACGAAAGTGATGGTTTTCGAAAGAGATGAAAACAAAACGGTATGTGAAATAAGAATAGAAGGAGAGTTAATTGAGCAAGTGGATGAGTTCGTATATTTGGGATGTGTATTCAGCAGGGATGGGAGATATGATAAGGATATTGAACGACGAGTGAATGCAGGAAATAAAGTAAATGGGGCTCTACACTCTATTGTGAAAAGTCAGAATGTGTCAAAAAAGGCACGTATGGCAATTCACAGTGCTGTATTAGTCCCTACTTTAACGTATGGTAGTGAAAGTTGGGTGTGGCAGAAGAAGCACGAGAGTAGAACAAATGCAGTAGAAATGCGGTCGCTAAGGAGTATGTTAGGGCTGAATCTGAGTGACAGGGTGAGAAACTGTGTGATAAAAGAAGAGTGTGGTTTGCAAGATGATGCGGTGACCAGGATTAAGAAAGGAATGCTTCGGTGGTTTGGTCATGTAGAAAGAATGAATGCGGAAAGACTGACAAAGCAAATATATGTTGCAGAAGTGAATGGAAGAGTCGAAAAGGGACGTTCTCGGCGGAAGTTTGTCGACCAAATTTGATATACTAAAAATGGGCCAAATTAAGAGTACCCTTAGCCGACGAGCATGTATGCGTAGGTATATGGATGTGGAAGAGGCGAGAGAGATATGTCAGGATCGTGCTAAATGGAAGTCTGTAGTCTCTGCCTACCCCTCTGGGTGACAGGCGTGAGTGTTTATGTTATGTTTATATTATTTTTTTGTTTTTTTTATTTCCAATATTTTTTATCGAGATGTATTCATTACAGCCTATTAGAGTTCACTGCTGAACGTAAACCTTGTTAGATTGTCTCACGAGTTTGATATCTACCACCAGTTACCATCTGTGACGCGGGTCAGCAGCCGCACTTTATTATTTTCTAGGTGTTATTAGGAAGACGGTGCAGTCCATTCCCTGTTTTTTTCCCTCTGTCGCTTCTTACGACACCCACGGGACGATATGGGGTAGTGGATATTCGTACACCGCAACTACACGGTCATTATTATTTAACTGAGATAATTGTGCAGAATAAATGATACATGCTGACACAAGCTAGTGCTACCAATATCTCGACTCCACAGTCAGTAATTCATTCTTGAAGCAATGTATACGCTATTACAACAAAGTCCCAGAAAATATACAAGGTCTCTCTATTAAAAAGTTTAAATGTTTAATTAAACAAAAACTTTATAAAAAGGTTTATTATGATATAAATGAATACATGGTTTGATAATAACCCCTGGGAATGAGGTGGTCGATTTCAAGCTGTTTCTAAAATAAATTTTGTAAATATTTTGTGACCCTTGACATTGTAAAATTTATTTTAAGAAAAAAGTCCCGCTGGGTTTCTTGCTGGTTCTTCACAGAGGTTTGTTTTTCGAACCAGTTGTAACGTAAAATATTGACTTTCAATAAGAATTACTTATCTATATAGATTTAAAAAATATTCTATTCTATTCTATTCTATTCTATTGATAGATAATAGATAGAAATATAGTCTTTTGATGCTTAATTTTGACACGATACAAAAATGACGCCATATAAACTGACACTAGCTTCCAATATTTTTTAAATATTTTTAAAAATAATTTCCATCTACTTGCAAAGCTATTTAAATTCAAGAAAGTTATATATTTCCTCACTTAAATGTATTGAAATGAATTTTAACTTTTCTCATAATTGCCTTTTATGTAAATTGTCTTATTTGAATAGTATCTTACAGAAATATTTTCTTTGGGAAAATTATTAAACGGAACACGTTTGAATTGCGGTTTTAAACGCATTTAAGTTTTTTCTGTGTTGGAATGGAGTGTTCCGTCGTTTTTCGTAGTGTAGTGTAATTTTTTATTATTTTACTACGTTACCTTCACACTAGGAATTACTCCCGTATCGTGGAGCCAATTATTTGCACGCCATACAAATACTTGTTGCGTTCGGGATTCGAATCCGCGATCGTCAGTGCTGCAACTCTTTGCTAAGCCACTGTGGCACGGAGCCGTGTATGTAATTGTAGTGTTAATCAGCGATGTGTGTGTGTGTGTGTGCGTACAGACGTGCGGCAGCGGCAGCCAGTACCGCACGGTGTCAGTGATCAGCCGCTCGCAGTTCGAGGCGACGCAGCCCAGCGAGCGGCACGCCAACCCCGCCGAGCCGCCGCCCCCGCCGCCCAGACCCCAACAGGTGCCCATCGCCGCACGCTCGCTTGTCATGTGCTCACCGACACTCACCGTACACTCACCATACACTCACCATACACTCACCATACACTCACCGTACACTCACCATACACCTCCAACATTTACCATACACTCACCAATACTCACTAACATTCACCAAAACACACCATACACCACCAACTCTCACAACACTTACCATACATTCACCAACACACAACACTTACCATACACTCGACATACACTCACCAAACACTTGTGGCGACGCTGTCATCGCGACGGCAAGCAAAACACACCGAAGCCTAAATCACGCTATCAAAATTCCGAATCATAAACAATATAATATATGGAACACCTCCGAACTATCACACGGAGTGTTGGCCGCTCCCCGGGCAGAACACCTTGCCCGGCGGGAGATCTCCCCTTTTCCTTCCACGTCCACACACTTACCATACACTCACCATACACTTACCAACACTCACCATACACTCACCCACTACCCATATCCATACTTAATGTGTGTCACCCCCCTTTCACAACTAAGGTGGAATATCTTGTAATTATCGGAGATTGGATTGAAAATACCTAAAGTTTGCAGCGGGACATAACATGGAGCTGTTACAACCACGTAAGTTGAACCGGTTTTGAATTTTACTGGTTCAGTTTCGGTTTTTTTTTTGTTTTACATGATCCTTGCCTTTGAAACACCGAACTATAAACATTTGCAAGCTGCTAAGAAAAATTTTTTGACTTTTCGGAAACGGTTTTATAACTTTATCTCTAAAACCCCGAATTTCACACATCTGCAAGCTTTAATACAGTTTTAGATTTGTTATTGTTGTGTGTAGTTTTCGAGTACTAACCGAGAAGGGCTTTTTTAACTGACTTCAAAAAAAGGATGGGGTTCTCATTTCGACCGTATGTTTTTATGCATGTATGTTACTCGATTACTACGTCAATTAATGATAAACTTTATTGATTCTTTTTTTGTTAGGTAGGTCAAGTTTTAGAGGTAGTCCCATATACATTTTAACAGATAAATAGGTGCAGTCTTGCAGTGCAACTTGTTGAATTAATACGTGTTATAATCTCGATATTTTGGTCGGTCGCAGTTTTGAATCCAGCTTACTTTTGATTTTGCGCCTATTTTTAACCTGATTTTGTGGATTTGCTGTGTGCAGATGTTATTTTCAAGATTACGGATTACCTGTATTACCTTATCACGCACATTTGTACCAATAATGTTGGTAAAATATCTAAAACTATATTACAGCTTGCAGATGTATAAAATTCGGTGTTTCAGAGACACAGAACAAGTAGAACTAAAAAACCGAATTTTAATCGGAAAAGATTAAAAAAAATTATTTTAAAACTGTATTAGCAGCTTGCAAATGTTTATCGTTTCGTGTTTTAAAGAACATGTAAAACAAAAAAAAAAAAAACGAAACCGAACAGGTAAAATTCAAAACCGGTTTAACTTAGGTGGTTGTAAGAGCTCTATGTTATCTCCTGCTGCAAACTTTTGAAATTTTCACACACTCAATTCCGATCTCTGGTAATTTTACTAGCTCTCTATATAATTCAAACGAATGCAACATTAGGTTATAATAATATATAGTGGAGCCATACTGAAGCTATATTTTAATTGCCATGCAAATGTCTTTGCTCCACTGAAGGAAAACTCACATAGCAGCATTATGTTGTGTTCCGTATGTTAAATACGGTACTACTCTTTTTAGTCGTTAACAGGCATTCCATGTTAGTCCTCACAGATAAAAACACTTACGCACTTTGATATTAAATGGAGGATGAATGTTAGTCTTTACAAACTTACCATTATGGGTGCGTTTGGCAGAAAAAAGCGCTAGCAATCGCTTGTAAGCAAAATGGCGATCGTAAGCGGTAAGCGCTGTCAAATCGTAAGTAGCTATTTTCCTCTAGGACACGAAGTCAGTTTTAACCGGGGAACCTAACCTAATTTGAATATATATTTGTAAAATATTCATATTAAAAACTTACCAATCACGAATTTTTAATAACATCTATATGTCTATTCATGTCATTATATTACTTAAAACTAATATTGCACAAAAAAAAACTTATAAACTTTACTTCAAAACAAACAAATGAAATAAGCAAAATGGCGGATTGTGTCAGCGCTACTGAAGTAGCAATCGTGTCCTGGCCGAAAACTATTTCAGCGCTTATAAGCGCTTGCTAGCGCTTTTTTTCTGCCAAACGCACCCTATGTGGACAGTTTGTTTGCTTGTCTGAAACAGAAAAAGATCTGAACTGAATTGAAATTGTAGCAGCAGTAGCCTAATGGCAGGGTGCAAACCACGAACTCACAAGGTTGTGGGTTCGAATACGACATCCGACTACTCTGCTGTGAACCACTCCTGATACAAGCATTTTCAAGTTTTTGAATAGTGGTTACAGTGAATATTAGTGAAGTTAATAGCATTTTATTTTAAAAAAAGCTTTATTTAAAAAAATGTGTTTACGTTTGCGTTCAAAGAGAAAAAGTCGATAATTATCATGGTAGTAGCTATCGATCCACATCAGTCATCCACAGAAGTAGACAGAGTGTACGCACTTCTATTTGGCACGATTCTGACACCTCTCTCACTTCTCTCACATAAATATCTATCTACACATACTAACCTAACCTACTCATCAGTTAACGATATCTTTTATTTAGCCTAGCTTTTCAATATATCGTCAGTTTGGTAGATAAACTTCCAGCTTTCTTTGACACTCTCTTTTGTTCTTTCTTAATGTCCAAATCACAGAAGCATTACTTTCTTAATCCTGGTCACAACATCTTTCAAACCACACTTCTCTTTTGTCACACAATTTTCACACTTCCAGAGTCACTTCTAACATACTTCTTAGTGGCCACATTTTTGCAGCATTAAGTTTACTCTATCAACAGTGTTTTTTTTTTTGTAGAATTAAAGTGATAAATGAATACACTGTCCATCTGATGGTAAGTGGATGCTGTGGCCTATAGATATCTACATCTATACTTGATTAAGAATCAAAATGCAGATGCATTGTCACCCATGAGGATTAAGATAGCATGCCTCGTTTCCAAAAAATTGGTTTCCTGTTCTCTACACTCACCATATGAAAGACAGCAGTATTTAGCTGCTATTTTACGCTGGGATTCTGTAAGAGCTTGGTCCTTCCCCAGAGCAGCATGGCTCTACCACGTAAAAATTCATTATGTTATACAGGGTGTTAGTGTAAACACCGTTATCATTGAAACCAGTGTTTTGGTTTCACTTATAGAACGTAAATTCAATGAAAAATTAATTTTTTTTAGTAAAATCTCAATTTTTCCTTAATTCCTCAATTTTTGCCTGTCCTAAGCCAGGATGAAAATATGAAGGAAAAGTTACATCACAGGTTATGTGTACCTATTAGAATTTTTTTTATTAGAATGTTGTGTAGGTAGCTAGCGCGTGCGGTGTTTTTTACAGTGATTACGTCACTCGGTCGCATAGGGTATCCATGAATTTACGGACGGTGTCAGACAGAAACTTTTTAAATTTTATGAAAGAAAATAGCGTTTTTTTTTTAAATTCATTGAATTTACGTTCTGTAACTGAAACCAAACCACTGTTTTCAAAGATAACGGTGTTTACACAACACCTGAATATTATATAGCTGTTTACCATTCAATGTGCTTCATCAGATGGAACAGTCCAACGAGCAGCCGGAGAAGAAACGTCCCCGACGAACGGCGCGCTTCTATGCAGCCAGCAAGGACCCACACGCCACTGATGTTATGTGAGTAAATAAGTTATCAAATTATTTCTTAGTACATAATAGTTCGTGAGCCGTGGTAGCTCAGATGGTTAACGCTCGCAGTAAATATAACAGAACGATAGTAGTCACCAATGAAATTGTTAATTGCAATTTTAAGTGCTGATTTACCACGTGCTCGGCGGTGAAGGAAAACATCGTGAGGAAACCAGCATGTCTGAGTAATAATAAAAAAAATATTTCGAGGACATGTGAAGTTCGCCAACACGCATTAGGATTAGGGCAGCGCGGCGGACACTTCCTCGCCCTAAAACCCTCTCAGAAATGAGGGGAGGCCTGTGCCTAGCAGTGGGACGTATATAGGCTGTAACTTTACTTTTACATAATAGTTCTTGAACATATAGTGGCGGTGTGAGAATAACCACAAGCTCATATCGTCCAGTGAGTGTCCAGAGAGGCGATAGAAATTAAACCAGGATGGGCAGTAGCGTTTTCCTGATAACAACTTAAAAAAATAATAAAAAATATATATATACGATGATAAACCAGATAATAAACTAATAATTTTATATACAAATGTATTAAATTTATCGGTTTCCAAATAGCATTAAAGAACTTAACTCACAGTGTATTATTTTCAAATATTTGTCGACATTTTTGTTTGGAAACATATGCAATGCGAAGATTATTGTGCAATACGAAACACGCATTGGAGACACGATGTTAATATAGATCTAGCCACCATCACAGCCAGTCCACTGCTGAATATAGGCCTCGCCTAAGATTGTCTCATAAATGTGATATTTGCCATATTTGCCACGCTTGACAGTTTTTTATTTTCTAATTGTGATTAAGAAGACACTGCTGTCCTTCTGGTTTGTTTTCTCTGGCGTCTCTTATAATGCCAGTGGACGATATGGGGTTGTGGATATTCTTACACCGCCATTACATGGTAGACTTCATAGAATACTATAATACGCAATAGAATGGCTGTCATACTTATTTTGTGCGAGGATAGGCGTCTCTGGGAGCACACATACAAGCAATTACGTCGTATTATTACTACTACAAACCCGATTCGATGTTTTGTCAGACTGAGTAAATTTACACATTTTAGACTTTTGATTAATGTTCAAAATCATCATTAAAAATTCGTTTAAATTTTAATACATATTCATTTGTAAATAGCGTGCAATTTGGTATTTTCTAAATAATTTGCATGCGAAATTCGGAAACGATTGTAACGTCAAAACACATCTCGTGACATTTATACGTGTGAATTGACATGTTAGTGACATTTTAGTGGCTACACGGGCTCCGCCCACTCCCCTCTTCTATTATGTATGTATTATAGTATTCTATGGTAGACTTTAATATTAATAAGCTTTTTTTCGATTCGAAAACCTCTTCCCACTATCCAACGCAGTGACGTCACTCTGTTTATTCGGTAACGTCACATTACACACAGTGGGTACATTAAAGGCTCTACTAAAACACACGCACGTTTTATCAATAAATTTGTGTGCACCTAAGTTCCGCTACACGAATATATAAGTTTCTGTAAGATTCATTAGGAAATGCAATTTATGTAAAGACATTCTAGCAGAATATTCAACATAGCAATAAATTTCGGATCTATACAGATAAATAAAAAATGATGTGTCTGTAACATAGAATACATACATAACAGAATGGGGGAGTGGGCAGAGCCCGTGTAGCCACTAAAATGTCACTAAGACAATGGGTGCGTTTGGCAGAAAAAAGCGCTAACAAGCGCTTGTGAGCAAAATGGCGATCGTAAGCGGTAAGCGCTGTCAAATCTTAAGTAGCTATTTTCCTCTAGGACACGATGTTAGTTTTAACCGGGGAACCTAACCTAATTTAAATATGTTTGTAAAGTATTCGTATTAAAAACTTACCAATCATGAATTTTTAATAACATGTATATGTTTATTCATGTCATTATATTACTTAAAACTAACATTGCACAAAACAACTTTTAAACTCTACTTCAAAACAAACAAATTAAATAAGCAAAATGGCGGATTATGTCAGCGCTACTGAAGTAGCAATCGTGTCCTGGCCGAAAACTATTTTAGCGCTTGTAAGCGCTTGCTAGCGCTTTTTTCTGCCAAACGCCCCCATTAATTCACACGTATTCAAATGTCAACACGAGATGTGTTTTGACGTAACAATCGTTTCCAAATTTCGCATGCAAATTATTTAGAAAATGCCAAATTGCACGCTATTTACAAATAAATATGTATTAAAATCTCTATGTCAATACAGCGAATCGGGTTTGTAGTAGTGATTAACTGATAATACGACGTAATTGCACGTCGTATTATCAGTTAATCACTACTACAAACCCGAATTGTATGTGTGCTCCTGGCGACGCCGAACCTCGATACAAAATAAGGTTGACAGCCATTCTACTGTGTATTATAGTATTTTATGGTTTGTAATGTCAAAGAACAGCTTTTTATTCAATTCATAAGAAAGTATATACAGTTCATAAAAAAAAGGCAGTTTTTAATATTTTTGTCTGTGTGTCTGTTTGTTCCGGCTAATCTCCGAAATGACTGGGGCCTATTTTGATGGGACTTTCATAAGTATAGTTGATGTTATAAGAAGTAACTAAAAGTAGCCTACTTTTATTTTAATAAAGAGAATATTATACGTGGTAGATCCATGCTGCAGTTATATTAGTAGTAAGTTGTAGCACGAATGGGTCGGCTCGACCGGGGAAGGACCACGCTCTCACAGAATACCAGCGTGAAATAGTAGCTTAACGCTGCTGTGTTTCGTATGGTGAGTGTAGAGACCAACACCCTTTTTACTGTAAATGAGGCATTCCATCTTAGTCCTCACGGGTCAAAACGCATCTGCATTTTGATTCGTAATCGATGATAGATGTACATGTCTATGGGCCGCAGCAACCACTTACCATCAGGTGGACTGTGTGCTCGTTTGTCACCCTATCCTATAAAAAAAATTAGGGATCCGCGCAAAAAAATTAAAACCCATGAAATCCTATTGTAATAATTCAACGCGGATGAAGTCGCGGGAAACAGCTAGTTTATTATAATTTTTTTTAATTATTAATACATCATAATACTATCCTATGTCATTCCGTGGATGTAATAAGAGGTGACAGAGGGAAACCGAATCAGAAGATAAGTATCACTATTTTAAAAATATATATTTGGTTAATATTGTAAATATTGGTTACGGTCGTTAATGACTATGTTAGGGCTGAAACTTAATGGCAGGGTTAGAAATTGTGTGATAAGAGAAAAGTGTGGTTTGCAAGATGATGCTGTGATCAGGATTAAGAAAGGAACGCTTCGGTGGTTTGGTCATGTGGAAAGAATTAATGAGGAAAATGTGACAAAGAAAATTTATGTTGCAGAAGTGAATGAGTGCAGAGTCGGAAAGGGACGACCTAGGTGAAAATTTATCGACCATATTAACGATTTATTGAAAACGGGCCGAATTAGGAGTACCCTTAACCGACGAGCATGTATGCATAGGTATATGGATGTGAAGGAGGCGGGAGAGGTGTGACAGGATCGTGCCAAATAGAAGTCTCTAGTCTCTGCCTACCCCTCTGGGTGACAGGCGTGAGTGTTTATGTATGTATGTAATTCTATGGTTACTAACTTACCTACCAAACATGGCAACCATGGCAAATAAACCACCTATGAATAGATATTTCACAAGGGATACATCCAGACCCGGAACAATTATTTGTGGGCCATATGAATGCTTGTTCTGAGCGGAATTCGAATCCGCAATTATTGATTCCATTGAAATTGATTAATTTGATAGTTTAATCAAATAGTTTAATCAATATAATACTAGTTGGAACTATCGTTAACCATCAAAGTAAACTTAAAAATGCGTGTTTTAAGAGTGATTCACCACAACAGTATGAAGCAATCTGTGGGGGGGGGGGGGGGTTTGTTCAACAATCGACTTTAAAGCAAGGTTTACACGAAGCCAGTAACGCTGGCGCCAGTCCTCAGATAAGCCAGTGCTGGCCTGGCCCGGTAACGGAGTAACAGTAGTCGGCTTATGCTTTTTTTTAAAAGATATTCTTACTGTTACGATTCAGTGGTGTTTTTCTCTACGTGACAGCTTATGTAACTGTTAGTTTATTTTTAACAATTATTTGTAAATATCATTTTAGATCAATATCAGATAAAGGGAAGAAAGCGTTCCATAGAGGGTTGTGTGAATTTGGTCGCTTTCTGCTTTTAATTAGATGTAATCCTATGTGAGGATAATAATAATAACTTTTTATTGACATATAGGTATAACAAATGTAAGCAAGAACAGTAAGCTACACATCTAAACAGTGTTCAAGATAAGATATACAAATATTTTCCGTTGGACCCCAAATTAGATAAATCATTTATCTTGGGGTCCGAGAGCGCAAGAGAATCGTACGATGTTGAATTAGAACCTTGGATGCAAGTATCGTGATGACGTTTTCGAAGAATACATAAATGATTGTTTCCTCTCGAACAGAAGCAGCCGCAAGCACAAGACGCGCCACAGCCTCAACCCGCCCGTGGAGCATCACGTCGGCTGGATCATGGACATCCGCGAGCATCGCGCCCGGACTCACAGCACTGGGTATGTACGCACTACGCACACACTACACCTGCAACTTGACATCACACATTTCAAATTTAAATATTTAATTTTAAATATTTATTGTCCAGAGTGGTAGAGCCATGCTGCAGTTATATTAGTAGTATAGTTGTAGCACGAATGGGTCGGCTCCACCGGGGAAGGACCACGCTCTCATAGAACACCAGCGTGAAATAGTAGCTTAATGCTGCTGTGTTTCGTATGGTAAGTGTAGAGAACCGGAGACCCTTTTTACTGGAAACGAGGCATTCCATCTTTAGTCCTCACGGGTGACAACACATCTGCATTTTGATTCGTAATCAAGGATAGATGTAGATGTCTATGGTCCACAGCAAGCACTTACCATCAGGTGGACTGTGTGCTCGTTTTTCACCCTATCCTATAAAAAAATATTAAAAGTTACATAATTACATTACAAAAAAATATTCATTATAACATATAATATAGCTATTTTGGTTTTTATTTACATAATGTTAGGTTGTGTTCCCAAATGTTCCCAGTATACTGGCGAATGCAAATGACGTCATTAATTGACGTCATTCGATATAACTAATCACCAGTACGGTGTCGATTTATGACGTCATTTGCGTTCTCCCATGTACTGAGTTCTATTTCGGACTTACCCTTATTCTACACGTGTGTTCCGAATAGAACCCACAGTACACTGGCAAATTAAAATGACGTCATTTATTGACTCCTTATTGTACTGGCGTGCCGCCGCCATATTGTGTCGGATATCCCGCCATATTAAAAAAAAACAGTTTTTAATTGCGTGTACGCTGAAAGAAGCATGCCAGAATTTAAAGTTTTTATTTATTCAAATACTAATATGTAGATTGCGCTTATACAGTTAAATCTGTACGATAAAGAGGATGAGAAATCATACTCATTCTTTTTTACTGAGGAAGAGTGGTCAAGAGCATGTTTGATGTCATACACTGGCTAATGTTTTGAAACGATTCACCAGTGTGGCGTCGATTTATGACGTCATTTGCATTTGCCAGTATATATATATATATATATATATATATATATATATATATATATATATATATATATATATTCTATTTAGTAATTTTCTTTTGCGAATTTTCGGTTTATAATACAACTGATACGCGATTCCAGAAGTTACAATAGTGACTCTATCTTATAATGACATTTAACTGCGAATAATATGTCAATAACATCAATATTTAAAATTATATGTTTTTCTTATACACCATTACAATACCTAAGTGATAACCTCTTGTCACAATTATTTTTGTAATGCAGTTTATCTTTCCATGGAACAGTGATCAACTGTGTTAAATATTTTATACAGTTATTATTTATTTATTAATTATTAAACACTTATTTATGGAAAGCGAGCTATGGAAATGACGACACATCTTCTCGTCAGGTACACCTCAAAACTAGATTGTATAACCAGTGCGTGTTGCCAGTGATGACTTACGGATCTGAGACGTGGTCCTTCACTGCTGGACGTATGAGGACGCTCAAGGTCACTCAGCGAGCTATGTAGAGGGCTATGCTCGGGGTTTTTCTGCGCGATAAACTCAGAATTGAGGAAATCCGCAGTAGAACCAGAGTGACCGACATAGCCCAACGGATTAGCAAGCTGAAATGGCAATGGGCCAGCCATATAGATCAAAGACCCCCCCATGATGCAGTGACGACCTGGTAAGACATGCAGGGAGTCGATGGATGCACGTGGCTCAGGATCGTGCTTTGTGGCGTTCCTGGGGGGAGGCCTATGTTCAGCTGCGGACTTGTGCAGGGCTGTAATGATGATGATGATGATGGTGGTGATGACTTATTTATTTATTCATGTGACAGCAAATAAAAACACAACTTGATCGGTAACTTACAAATTAAAAATAAATACAAAAGTCTCACATATATATGCAAACCATGAAAATATATTAAAATAATTTTAAAAATGATTAAATGATATAACCTGAAATACGGCAATGTTTTACCATTTATCAGTTGTGAAAAATTTGTTGTCAGCATATTTCACATTAACATAATTATTGGTTATCATCACAGCCTCATGAACTGCATGTCTGAGGAATAAGGGAAAAAAATTATTTCGAAGACATGTGAAGTTCGCCAACACGTATTGGGGCAGCGCGGCGGACACTTCCTTGCCCCAAAACCCTCTCAGAAATGAGGGAGGCCTGTGCCCAGCAGTGGGACGTATACAGGCTGTAACTTTACTTTAACTTTACTTTACCACAGCCTCGATAAAAATTAAGCCCTATCATGTAAGAAACAATGTTTATTTTGTGACAACTACTTTGAAGCCTTACTTGATTTACTCAATGTCTGTGACATGGTTACACACCTAATTAAATAACCTATTATTACTGTTTTCCAGCTCCTCATTGGGAACGTCTCCAACACTGGGCTCTTCGTGCGGTTCCGTACCACAATCCTTGCCAGCATTTCACCATCCGAGCCACGGTCTGCTGAGAGAGAATCATTTCACCCAGCAGGCCTATCACAAATATCACTCGCGTTGTTTGAAAGGTTAGTACATATGAGTAAACTCTGCTTGTTTGTCACACAAGCACACAGTCCACCTGATGGTAAGTGAATACTGTGACCCACAGACATCTACATCTATCCTCGATTACGAATCAAAATGTAGATGCGTTGTCAACCGTGAGGACTAAAATGGAATGCCTCGTTTCCAGTAAAAAGGGTCTCCGGTCTCTACACTCACCATACGAAACACAAAAGCATTAAGCTACTGTTTCACGCTGGTATTGTGTGAGAGCGTGGTCCTTCCCCGGTCGAGCCGACCCATTCGTGCTACAACTGTACTACTAATATAACTGCAGCATGGCTCTACCACGTATAATTTAATAAATTGTTTTGATGAAACGATGGTTCGTAGTTATGCTAGGATCTAATAGGTGGAACTTATTTATTTATCTATTTTTTATTTATAGAATAGGAGTTATAATTGAACACAGGGTCCACTTGATGGCAAGTGGATGCAGTGGTCCATAAACATCTACATCTATCCTCGACTAGGAATCAAAATGGAAATGCGTTATCACCTCTGAGGGCTAAGATAAAATGTCTTGTTTCCAGTAAAAAGGATCTCCGGTTCTTTACGCTCACCACACGAAACAAACCAGCATTGAACTGCTATTTTACGCTGGTATTCTGTGAGAGCATGTTTGTGTGTGATGCTGTAGTCAAGTTAGTTATTAACTAGTTTAATACTTACGAAACAAAATTACTCATATTTACCAAAATATATTATGCCAAAAAGAAAATCATTATATTGGAACCCGATGGGTGGTGCTGTAGTTAAGGCCGAATACGAAGGGAACTGGCGAAAATTAATGTATTTCTCTTGACTAGATCTTTGACGGGAAGTAATTCTAAGCTTTAAAACATTTTTGTAGGTTTGTTCGGGTCCTTCACAAAGTGACCGTCATTTTAAAATTTTAAAATAAATGAATATACCAAAAAATAAAAAAAAATGTTAAGAAATGATATATAAAATTATTGTTCTTCCAAAACTCTGTGAATTTTAATTTAGGAAAAAATCTTTTACGTAAAAATGTTTGTATTGTGATTACGAAGGTAACTGCTATCTTTATTTTCGTATCGTAATACCGTATATTGCCAGATAAAAGTTTGCCGTAATAAATTACCAGGCGCTTCGACGTGTGACGTAAGGTAACAACAGTAGATATGTCTGTAGCGAAAATCGTTAATTTAGTGTTTTATACGCGTTTAAGTGACTATAAATGTAAATATGGGTAGGAAAAGAAATAAATGTTACCTAAGTGGTAAAACAAAGAGAGTTTATCGCATGAACGCTGCTCGAATGTTGTATTTTGAGGTTAATACTTATATTTTTGTAAGATAATTTTTTGTTTTAGGCTGCCTAATAGGTTGCATTTTTACTCATTTACCTGTAAGCCTGTACGGCTTTGATTATAGGTATTATACATGTCTATATAAACAAAGCGTAGGTACTGGCGGCGCGTGGTTTGCTGCGAAACGAGCAAGGTCATTCGCGTCGTATTCGGCTTTAAGTAATTAATTTACTATATACACTGAAAAGTTCAAAAATAAATCGGAGTGGAACTTATCGCGCCACTTACTGTCAGGGGCGGAATGCTAAGCTAGCTAATTGTATATTAAAATGATAATGTTCACTCCGTTAAAACATATTCCGTTTGTCCATCAGAACGCAAGAAGCTTGGCATCGGCCAGTCACAGGAGATGAACACGCTGTTCCGATTCTGGTCGTTCTTCCTCCGGGACCACTTCAACAGGACCATGTACAACGAGTTCAGGTATGAATTAGTTTAAAAATAATATTGATTCTTTATGGTAATCAATAAAAATAATCCTCTACCCCATATCATCCTTTGGGTATTGTAAGAGGCAGCGGGGGAAGACCGTCGAGCGAGTTGGGCAGCAGCATCTACATGATAATCCCAAAGTAATAACAAAACTGCAGATGCCAACCGCATCTGGCAATATTAAATATACCTGTGAGGTAATATAGGCGAGTACTACGTCCAGCAGTGGTATTTTGATAGACTTGTGTGTATGGGGGATGACAAATTAATAGTCTATTTTCACGCTTATATTTTTTATTGCGCTGGGCACACAGTAATGACAGTCTAACAACAGCACAATACAGAAGGGACAAATGAGGAGATGGCAACACACTAAGATACGGAAAGAAGAATTTAACGATACAAACTGCGTAAGTTGTGGGTCTTAGGCTAACAATAGATATAGGAAAAATGCGACGTGTAACGCGGAAGCGGATGAACTGGCGATCTCGTCCCGAAGGCGCGGCCCAGCGACCGAACCAGTTTTACATTCATTATGCAAATACATAAAAATGCATGGCGCGTGTCTGCTTGTACATAATTTAATTTATCAATAGGTATTATTATCCAAAATTTGGACATTTTTATTAACAATCGTACCATTTACAATTAAGAAAACATACATTAATAATAGCTTAAAATTTTTGTATAAAACTCGCCACAGAATGAAAGAATGGATAAATGATTATTTCAGGGATAGCTATTTGTCGAGACTTTTCGAAAGGGATTATATTCACACAGCAATACATTTTGTGTTGTCGAGACGATGGTTTTTTTTTTGCTTTGCTAGAACCCGATAGATGGTGCTGTAGTCAAGTTATTAACAAACTCTATATTTAAAACAAAAAAAAATCGTAAAAATTTAGCTACGTTAGGTGGTGTTGTAGTCGTTACCATTTTTTATATTTACACTGTAAAAAACCCCAAGTGCATGTGGAGCGAAACTTTATAATTTCGTAATACGTAATTTTTTTTTATAAAATAGTGGTGACAAGCTAGCACACAGTCCACTTGATATAAGTAGATGCTATGCCCATATACATCTAGAACTATACCCAATTAAGAATCCAAACAAAATGCAGGTGCGTTGTCACCCCTGAGGACTAAGATGGAATGTCTCGTTTCCAATAAAAGGGATCGTCCTGCTGGAAAGGGCAGGACAAAGTGTGCCGAGAACTTTAGTTCGTGCCAAATCGATTGGGAAAAACACACAATCACCTTTCGGTCGTTTAACCTGGGGTTAAACCTTCAATATATAGGCACTTTTTATATGTAGTACTTTTTTTATTTATAATGATTTTTTTAATAATTTTTTATACTCATTATAATATATAATATATATTTATTAACTATTATTAAAAAGTTATGTAAAAGATCGCTGTAAAAGAAAAATCATCTATTGTTATAAAGTACTTTATTCATTTAACAACGAAAAGCATTAATTTATAACACATATAAAGATTCGAGTGATAACGACACCGAATAGGTACGTACTTATTCAAAAGATAAAACTTTATTTTCAATACTATATAAGAACTTTATTTTTATTCGGTGCATGCGGACCGGCCCAAAAAAAGTGACGCATCTCTGGCTGCCATTGTTACGTTTCTTTTAGAACGAACTAACGTAACGCGCTTTTTGTTTATTTTAAAGGGATGAATTTGCTAAAGTTCAATATGGTGATTATATTGCTTTTATTTTTTTTAAATATGAAACTTACTAAATGAATAGCTGCGTTACTTACCATAAATATTGAAATATAAAATATAACACATTTTTCACGATGTACCGTAAGATTTTACTATGTTTATAGGAACCACAGACAATATTATTTAAGAAACAAAAAAAAACATATGTAACTTACAAAATTTAAATTTTGTAAGTTACGCCTTTTGACACCGTTTTTCTCAATCGATTTAGCACGAACTATAGTTATAAATGAAAATTTTACTGTTTCCAGGACGCTGGCGAATGAGGACGCGGCCGCTGGGTTCCGCTACGGGCTGGAGTGCTTGTTCCGCTTCTATTCGTACGGACTCGAGCGCAAGTTCCGACCGGAGCTCTACCAGCACTTCCAGCAGGAAACCATCGCTGATTACGAGAATGGTGAGTGATTAACTGCCTGTTTCGTTTTCAGTTTTTCTGACATTGGCTATATAGCCTTCAGTGCAGAACTTCAATTTTTTTTTAATAAGATAGCGCGCCAAACGAGCACACAGTATACCTGATGGTAAGCGGTAGATGTGGCCCATATACATCTACATCTATCCTCAGATACGCAATCAAAACGCGATGCGTTGTCACCCGTGAGGACTAAGATGTAATGCCTCGTTTCCAGCAGATAGGGTCTCCAGTTCTCTACACTCACAATACGAAACAGCAGCGTTAAACTGCAATTTTACGCTGATTTTTTTGTGAGAAAGTCCTTCTCGTTCGGTTGTTCCGACTCATTCGTGCTACAACTATATTACTAATATAGCTGCAGCACGACTCTACTATGTATAAAATTATAAAAATATGTTAGCAAATTTCTCCATAATATGTTTAGGCGTCAATATGATCAGGAGCCTTGGTAGCTCAGATGGTTAACGCTCGCTGTAAATTTAACAGAACGCGAGTAACCCGGGTTTGATCCCCGCCGGCACCAATGAAATTGTCAATTTTAAGTGCTGATTTACCTCGACACGTTTCGTTACGTTCTCGACAGTGAAAGAAAACATCGTGAGGAAACCGGCCCGTCTGAGAAATAATAAAAAAATATATTTCGAAGACATGTGAAGTTCGCCAACACGCATTGGAGCAACGCGGCAGACATTTCCTTGCCCTAAAACCCTCTCAGAAATGAGGGGAGGCCTGTGCCCAGCAGCAGGATGTATATAGGCTGTATCTTTTTAACTTTATATTGAGGTGCCATATTGTGATGTTGTTTAGACATTTTGATGGCTGCAGACAATTACAAGCACATTATATCGAGGTTCACATCACCGTCAGAGCATTTGTTTCATCGTTTACAATAATAGTTCACATGTATAATATTTAATACACAAGATTGCACTTTTACGAATCAAAATTCACTTAACATACTATCATTTAATAATAATTTGATTTTGAAGAATGATTTTGATTTGTTTAATGGCTATGTATTGGCAAGGCGGGCGAGTCGAGAGCTTTTTGTGTCGTAATTTAATTTATTTTAAGAACAATTATGTTGTACGTTTAGCCCTGCTTTTTTCTTTTGTGGCTATTATTGTTTGTTTAATTTATTAAATTTTGTTGAACATTGTACATTTAAATTGGACTCCATTTTGTTGCTCGTATTTGTGCTATGTCCTCTAAACGACGAAAGATTATGTTAGTGTATTTCTATTAGTGAGAACCTGTTATTGGCTTCTTGTAAATTTAAGATGTTATTTACTTAAGATTTGTAAGCTGTTGGTTTTCCATAACATAAAAAAAAATAATAATACAGGTGTAGAAATCCGCCAGCGGTCAAGTTCTCGCCAAAACTCCTGATTGCGATTGTTTGATTATAATAATTCCGTCATATTGACAGGACTAATTATTAACATTTCACGTTTTTGTAGGTCTTCCATTGATATGTGAACTGAAATTCCACCTGATGGTAAGTTGCTATTGTAGATCTTGGACACCTGCAACCAATTTCAAACAAAGAACGTTACAGATGCGTTGGCACCTTTGAAAACTAAGACGATAGAAGTCGTAGACCATGCACAACAAGGGGACTATGGTGACCACCTGTGTGTATTGCCAGTGCTAACGTATAGATCCGATATGTGGTCCAACGCTGTTGGCCGTATCAGAATGTTTCATGTTGCTTAGTGAGCAATGGAGAGTGCTATGCTCAGGGTTTTCTCTGTATAATAGATTTTTTAATGAGGTCATCCACAGTAGAACCAGAGTAATCAACATAGCCCATCTCAAGTAAACTAAAGTGGGCCGACCGTATTTATAGTTTGTATAAGTGGTAATTGAAGTGTATGCCCCAAATTATGATTTATTTTTCTACCAATACTACAGAAAAGAAATCACTGAACACATAAAAATATGTCCTTTTCAGGTCAGCTGTATGGGCTGGAGAAGTTCTGGGCCTTCCTCAAATATTACAAGCACGCGTCTGAACTGCAAGTAGAGCCCAAGCTAAAGGGATACCTCGAAAAGTTTAAAAGCATCGAGGACTTCAGAGTGCTGGAGGTAGATTTTTATGTAATTTCTAGAGCAGTGCTAACTAATCTCTGAAGTTTCAGTATTTATAAAGGCAGTGATTGATTAAAATACTGTGCATTATGTATATAAATGGATATTATACAATAAACTTTCTGTACTCTGTACAGGACAGGTTTATTGTGTCAGTGTGTGTGCAAGCACAGGTGCACTCTCTGTTGTCAAAGTCCGATGGAAAGGCAATCTCACTCGACCCGAGAGAGAGCAGGTGCAGGACCAACGGCTTTACTTGATTTTTTGAGTCACGGGGTTGAATACTGCTAACTTCTTGTCTTCGTGCAGCTACTGAGAATATCATGATGGAAAAATTCAATAACTGATTTTTTCCTTGGCGTTACTCAAGATTGAACTCAGGATCTCATGATCAGCAGTTGCGTTTACTACCATTAAGCCAACAAGGCAGTCAAAAACAAAACCTCATTTCCTTTCCTTTGTGACTCGGGCTGGAGTTTGTGTATACATCAGAGAGGACATCTGTTCTCGACACTCAACAATATCCGTTTGCCAAAAAGAGTGAATTGTCGAAGCTAAAGACCGAATGTGGCACATTCGTTTCTGGGATACCTGAGATTTTGAGTAAGATTGAGAGGCTCCATATGTCAATAAGGGGGAACCGTGGTAGCTCAGATGGTTAACGCTCGCTGTAAATATAACAGAACGCTAGTAACCCGGGTTCGATCTCCGCCGGCACCAATGAAATTGCTAATTGCAGTTTTATGTGCTGATTTACCACGTGCTCGCTGGTGAAGGAAAACATTGTGAGGAAACCTGCATGCCTGAGGAATAAGAAAAAAAATATTTCGAAGACATGTGAAGTTCGCCAACACGCATTGGGCGGACACTTCCTTGCTCTAAAACCCTCTCAGAAATGAGGGGAGGCCTGTGCCCAGCAGTATATAGGCTGTAACTTTACTTCTTTTACTTTAGTATATAAGGTTAGTCTATGAATATAGCATAGAGCACCCTTACCTATGGTATAGAATAGGAAGCTATTATAGAGAATTGTGTTATTGTTGGAAATTGTTTTGAACCTAAAATGTTACTTAAATAAAGAACCGATTTATACAATAGTAATCTTTATTACTTTTCTACATAAAGTTATTGAAATATCAAGAACAATACACTATAGGCAGCTGTACACGTCCTCTTTAGATCCTCACGCAAGTGTGAGTAACAAACCAGGAGCAAGTCTTATCCGACTCTATTTTGGGCTTCGGTTTAAACAAGATTAGAAAAGCTCTCCAGCATCTCAAAAAACGGAGAAGTCCTCGAGCGAGGATGGAATTATAGCGGAGCAAGAAAGGCGACAACGCTCTCTTGAAGAACTACAGACCGATTTTCCTTCTGAGCCGCGTTGTTTTCATGAGTCATTACGAATCGTCTCGCACGCAGACTTTACGATTTCCAGCCTCCCGAACAAGATGGTTTTCGAAAAGGTTTTAGTACCATAGATCACATACATACCATTCGGCAAATAGTACAGAAGTCCGTAGGGTACAATCGAAATTTGGGCAGTGCTGCAGTTCCTTCAGCGGTGTCAAGTTGACTGTCGGTATATCGAAGAGCTGAAGTTTTTGTACAGTGGGTTTACAATGTCTATTTGAGTACAGGACCAGAGTACGCAACCTATCCAACTGCAGAGAGGTAAGACAGGGTGACATTATAACCGCGAAACTCTTTACCGCTGCATTGGAAGATGTTTTCAAGTTATCGGACTGGAAAGGATATTGTATTAAAGTCTATGTTGACTCTCAGCAAGCTATGGGGGGGGGGGGGTTATGCTTGGGGTTTCTATACGTGATAAATTTAGGAATGATTCTCATTCCTAAATTTATCCATCCATCCACAGTAACCTAAGTGACCGACATAGCCCAACGGATTAGTAAGCTGAAGTGGTAATGGGCCAGCCGTATAGCTTGAAGAACCGACAACCGATTGGGAAGGAAGGTTCTCAAGTGGCAGCCTCGTACTAGCGGGCGAAGTGTAGTGTGTCGTCCTGGTAGATGGAGTGACGACCCGGTAAGACATGCAGGAAGTCGAGGCTGAGGACCTTGTTTTGTGACATTACTATGTTCATCAGTGGACTTGTGAAGATGTAATGATGATGATGATTATGTAATCACAGCAGCATTAAATTGTTATTTCATGCTGACATTTTGTATGAGTATGTCTTTCCCTGGTTAAGCAGATGTATTAGTGGTAATAGTACAATATTTAGCTGTAGCTTGGTTTTGAAATTGTCGCCGTTACAAATATAATAAAGTTTTTTTCGAATAGTAAAGGGGAGATCTGTCAATTCAAAAGGTGATTAGCGGAGGAGCGGGTATTGTTTTGTTTTGTTGTGGAGTTAGTTCTATATATGTCATATTCTATTTAAACCATAATAGCCTTACCCAAAACACACACCCCACAACCATCAAAAAAATCCGCCCCCCCCCCCCCCATTTTCCCCCTCCTTTTTCTCCCTCCCCAAACCACCCACAAACCCTCCCCCCAACCCACCCCCCCACCACCCACAACCCCCCTCCCCACCAACACCCCTCCCCCCCCACCTCCCCCCTTCTTCTCTACCCCCTCCCTCTCCCCCCCCACCCCCCCACCCACCTATACTATAAATGTAAGAGCACAACCAACAAATACTGGACCCCCCCCCCCCCTTCTCTTCCCACCGCAACTCAACACCCCCCCCCTACCTCCCCCCCCCCCCTCCCCCTCCCCCCCCTTCCTCCCCCCCCCCCCTTTCCCGTTTCTCAATAGCCGTTTCAGTTGTTTGGTTAAGAATATTGATATACTAGCTTGCCAGGCAGACGTTGTACTGCCCTTTTCGACGACAATTTCTCATGTCCTGTTAAAAATCTTTAAATCTAAAATTTAAAAAATTATTGAGGGTCACTCGTGGGCAAAAAAACTTTTCTATCTCTCAAGTTGGACCAAACTGCACACGGTGTGCAAATTTGATTAAAATCAGTTAAGTAGTTTAGGGAGTCCATCGTGGACAAACAGCGTGACACGTAATTTATATATATTAAGATATTGTTGATATTTTCAATCGCGATGCATTGATATTTATTTTAGAGAATTTAATTTGTATTAATTTTGATATATTTTATTATAAAGTTTATTTATCTACATATTTTTAAGCAAGAAAACCAGCTACAAAAGCATTCATTTGTTATTGTTGTATTTTTTTATCGTCCAATCGTCTACTCGTTGTAATAACAATTTTGACCTTATTCTTCTATGTCATGCAATACATGACGATATATCAATTACATCCAATATATACATAATTTTTTCACTTGGGCAATGGTATTGGGTTGCGGCCGTAGGCAGAGAAACCTATAGACAAATTGACTTCTTCTTTCGCATTCGCACACGAAAGAGATAGGTTTATGCATACGTCTTACATAGAAATGAGACAGGGCGGTGTGATTATTTGTCCCTTTCTACGTGCCGGTTTTTTTGTTTAGCAAACTACACTTTGCTAAACAACGTTGACAGTTTGTAATGATCTAAGGAGTTTACAAGTTGGTTTAAGTGAGAAAGAAAGTGTTTTGTGAGCTTTAGATTGGTGAATCTTGTTCAGTTCAGTTCTTAGAACAATTAAATTTTTTTATCTAAATATGTTTAAAAATCAAAGATTATTGTATAACCTAAGACTACGTTATATCATCCTTTCTCACTCGAGGCCACGCTAATCGTTAGTCTAGAGGTTTTTCTGTCTACGGTTGCGGCACGACGGCAGCGCCCTCACAGTGACAGATGTAATAGAGTTGTGTGTGTGTGCAGCCGCAGCTGAACGAGCTGTTGGCCGGGCGCGGGGCTCCGGCGACGGCGCGTGGCCCGCACGCGCGCGCGTACGACCGCACGCGCTCCGTGTCCGAGAGCGACCGCGCGCACCAACACCATCCGCAGCCCTTCAGGTAACTAGTGTCACTAATAACTACTCAACCTCTACAACACGTCAAATAATTAACGCACTTTGAGGAAGTAGTTTGCTCGAATAGTTTACTGAATCGATTCCTATCATTTTTAATATAGGTAATATTTTTATCCCAAAAATAATTAAAACTACGTAAATTACAATCACACTAAATCTGTACAGTCAAAACAAACTGAAATGGACCGTAACTTAAGGCAATAAGACTTTTAAGAGTGCAGTTTTATTTGTATTATTACTAATTCTGTCATTCAATAAAAATAAAGAAAAATGAACTTTATTTCAAGCACGTTAAAGTCTTTGCGTTCGTGGATTTGTACTGTGACCGCAACATTCTTCCGGAATTAGTATAACTAATTTGATAAATAGTCAGTGCATAAAAATGTTTAACTAAAAATTCAGTGTATGTATTATGATTATAACATAATATACTAATTGGGGTATCTGAGGGTGTGCGTTAATTACGTTACATATTGTATATTACATTTCTTCACAATATACTGATGATTGCGAACTTTTTGATGAATATTAACAACAGCTTGAACCAGATAGTCGATAACGATAGTATCTCAAAGCGTCTGACGCAGAATATGTCGACGTTTACGTTACCACTTTTTTCACCGATTCCATTAATGACCTAAATACCTCGTTCATATGCACAGACATTCAATACACAAGACTCCACATTTATCTTTTTCTGTCAATTATTGTTGTTTATAACAAAATGTGTTTCTAACTACTGTTAAAACAATGGTACACAAACAACACCCCACTAACAATCAAGTTCCCGCCAAAATACCTCCCCAGATTATCGCTTACTTTGACTTTTTTATAAAATAGGTATGACAAACGAACACAAAGTCTATTTGATGCAAATAAATGCTATGATACATATATTCTCGATTAATGCCCAAATACTCAAACGCTGCTTAATTTTATGATACCGTTAAGAAATGAAGTTAAGTTTTGAGTATTTCACCATAAGAATCAAAATTCAGATGCATTCTCACCCCCTGAATTCTAAGATAAAATACCTCGTTTCCAGTAAAGATAATCTCCAACTTTTTATACTCACGATATGAAGCAGCAGCCTATTAAACTGATATTCTGTAAGAGCGTGGGACCACAACATACATGGTAAAGCCGTACTGCAACCATGATATGACTGCAGTATGGCTCTGCTACGTATGAAATTATTAATAGTGACGATAACGGTGCTCAGAACTTCTTAAAACACTCTCTGTCGTATTAAAAATATAGTTTATGATTAGTTTTGAGTTTAAACTGGCGCCTGTTTTAATAAAAAAAAGGTCCCGTGGGATAAATCTAAACTAAAATATAGATTTTTTTATAAGATAAAAGTGACAAACGAGCACACAGTCCACCTGATGGTAAACGGATGCTGTGGTACATAGACATCTACATTTATCCCCGATTAAGACTCGAAAACGCAGATGCGTTGTCACCCCTGAGGACTAAGATGGAATGCCTCGTTTCCAATAAAAAAAGGGTCTCCAGATCTCTACACTCACCATACGAAACACAGCAGTATTACACTGCTATTTTACTCTGGTATTCTGTGAGAGCGTGGTCCTACCTCGGTCGAGCTGACCCATTCGTGCTACAACCATAATATAGCTGCAGCGTAGCCACTACTACGTAAGCGAACGAATATAGAATTTAACAGCAAATATCAAATATCGCAGACTATGAAACCTGATATGCAAAGTTCTATTGATATATCATTTGTTAAAATTTCACTTTAGGATAAATATTTTATTCTTTTCTTACTTATGCTATTGTAAGGTTTTCGTTATAAGACATTATAAATTTTCGCTTAACGATTATAAGCTGGTCCTTAACTGCTATCCCACCTGATATAGTCGAACATGGACTTCTTGCTTTGAAGATGTATTATATAGACAACTTCCTCGTGGAATTTACTGCCACCAGTAATTTTTTGGACCGATACGACTTTTTTATTCAATATACATTGTAAATAATACTTATTGAAAGTTACCCTTAAGCTTTATTTAACATTGATTCAAATATACATCTGTCGTGGGAATAACCAGCAAGAAATACAACGGGTTATTTAAAAAAAGAAAACGGCTTACAATCATACATGTTACCATGTTACACAATTAACACAAAACAAACTAGAAATAGCTTGGTAGCGATCACCTTATTTTCAGTGGCTATTTTCATCCATAAATCTATAAAAGGCCGGCAACACATCTGCAATTACCCTGGTGTTATGACTAGTTTAGACGATGCGAGCTGCTGACTAGACAGTAGACAGCTACTAGGCTTGTCTACTCGTACGCTAGTAGCTCGGCTCGCCTTTGCTGTCTACACGACACTAGTAGCTGCAGTCTTGCGAGTTGCCGCGATGTCGAGTGAACGTGTTATAAAAAAAGCACTGGCAAGCTACTGCCCATGAAGGTTAGAGAACAGGAGAACGATCACTACGTACTAAAGCATAGCCCGCCTGTCCTTCAAAATTGTAGAATACATAGCGGCGCTGACGTCGGCGAGTAGTGACTGCGAAGTTAGCTGTTTATGAGTACAGGTAGATGCAGTTAGTTGAATAATGTACAAATTTTCATTTCAATTTTTTATGAGAAAATTTTATGCTCCGTAATTTTGTAATTTTTGACAAAAAGAAACATTAAAAAATGGAGAAATATTTTATTGTGCGTGGATGTGCAAGTGGTTTAGCATCTGATCGGAAAAATAGACTGAAAATGACTTTTATTGACCGAACCTCGAGCGATCGCAGCGCCTCACTTATGGTGTCCATATTTCTGGACACTATTTTCTACGGTGATCGTTCTCCTGTTCTCTAACCTTCATGCTACTGTCGAATGCGTCTGAACGATGCGAGCGACGGCCGAGCTGCTGTCATGTACGAGTTGCTGGCGGGTGAGCATGCGAGTGAAAACAAAAAATGTTGAAGTAACTCTGATGTGAGCTACTGTCCAACTCGCGTGTCACTTACGAGTAACCGTGCGAGTTACTCGTAAGTGACATCGAGTTCGTGCGAGTTACTGCGGTGCAGCTACTCGGCAGGCTGACTCGTACGCTAGCTCGCACTGTGTAAACTAGCCATTACAGTTGTTCTTTGGCGCTCTTCGACACTTACCATTAGATGAGATGCACGCTCGTTTGCCACTTATATAAAAAATTAAATGTATAAATTGCAGTCAACATTGCAGCCGGGGCAGTACTGCCGGTGCGGCTCCCAGCCGTGGGCGAGCTGGTTCTTGCGGATCGCAGAGCGTCGTCGCTGGAGCCAGACCTAGACGTAAGTGCATTGTCATACTCCTTTAACGTATGTTTACTCGATTTCACCAGAAGGGGAGTAATGTTTTTCAAGTTTATGTATGTGCTGCTGTGCTTAGTAAGGTCAGTATAGTCAACGGAAGACCATGTTTACTGGAAACGAGGCATCTTAGTCCTCAGGGATGACAACCAAGGATAGATGTAAATGTTTGTGAGCTACAGCATCCACTTACCATCAGGTGGACTGTGTGCTCGTTTATCACACCCTTATTCTATAAAAAGGATTATATATATATATATATAAATATATATAACATCACAATATTAATCCTACGTCCTTTACGCAGTAGCGTCCACCACTTGTAGGCAATTTTTATACATTATGACAGCGAATATTTGTCCATTAAATAATTTCAAGGATAGTGTTTAACTCATTTCTTTGAAAATTTACCACATATCTATATACAGATATTCGTATATTGGCAGACGGAGGGAAACCAATCAGGACTCCCTTCCATATTACCAATTATCCGGAATCCCCGTAATATACATAGTTTTTAATTCATTCTCCTGCTTAACGCAATTCCTTTGTATGGTGCGACGTTGCCACTCTTATTAGTTATTCCGCTTTGTAATATTTTATTTATAGGTGATATTTTGTTTATGTACCTAGGTACTCGATAGATTCCTATAGTTTGTTTTTTTCGCAGGAGATAAAAATAACAGATCTTTATTAGGTAGATTCGTTTAGCACGAATAATAGTTTTTATGATTCTGGTTCAGATTAGATTTAATTTTAGTCAGTTAAGTTTCGTATATTGTTCAAAATAATTAAATAAATCCACAGAATGTGCAGTTACGAAAAATACGCAATATCGTTTTTGTCTCCGGCGAAAAAAAAAATAGATAGATATCATTATTAATTTACCAACTAGTTATTCGTTTACTAAATACGAAAAAATATCTAGGATTGCCCAGCCGTGATGCATTATAGATTGACTATATTATTTATTTTACTATTGTAAATAAGTACTAATTGTAGACATTGACAGGTTGTTAATTTCTGTGGCGTATTGTTGCTGACATAAATAACTCCGAAAATATAATTTATTTACATACTTGCTCGTATTGAGTTTTGGTGCTCTCACTGCGAGTTTACGTTTTATGATCACTATCTTATGGATGAGTGCGAATTATTTACCTAATCTGTAAAAATTACTCTCAACTTAACTAGATTCATTTTTGTGAGAGGCTATTTTTGTTAAATTATGATATTATGTTTGGTTTTGCAGTTAATTGAAATACAATTTGTTTGTGTTTGTTGTTGTAAATATTGGACGCTATATTACTAAAAACGCATGTTTTTAGTGCATATTGTGCTCTAATTGGCGTCCGTATTGTGACCTACGCACATTGAGAACTTTCCACGCTTATGCTTGCTTGCGTTTAAGTTTCTTTGGTTATATTTAGTAACTTAGTTAAATAAACTTGTGTGAGTTGATTAATGTACTTGACATGGACATTGAACGGAGTATTTACCCATATACGGACGTAAGAATATCCTAAAATATTCACACTAAGTTTTATTTGACGTCCACTTCTTCGATATCCGATGTCCAAAGAAAAAAAAAAAAATATATATATATATATATATATATTGCATTTTACAAAATATTTATTTAGCGCTCAAGGCATATTTTGGTATTTTTTGTCGGTGTATACTGTACTCGGTGCTAGTAGATAATTTTACTTTCCAATTTGTTTTCGTGTCCTTAAATTTAGCTACTTGTAATAATATGGACGTGCGAATATCTTAAAACATTCATACTGAATGATATTTAACGTCCATATTTTTGAATTTTGTTATATTTCTATATGTGGACGTCAGATTATCGGTAAAGTTTCATACCGCACGATATTTGACGTCCATATAACCATAAATATATTTATATTTTAATTTCTTGTGTATAAGACACACATTAATGGTCATTAATTTAATGACATTTTTCGCTCTTGTTTTATTTTAGTGTGGGGAGCCCATGTGGTATGAAATAGTCACTTTGGTGTTTCATAAAATGCTCCATTCTAAAAACGATAAAACGCTTAGAAAACCTTTCTTATTTCTTTTTTTGGTAAATGTTGCCGTTTGTAGCGGTTTTTGGGGCACTGTGTGCCTAATTTTAACTTTAAATTACTACCTGTGTACACATAATAATATGGACGGCCGAATATCATAAACATTCATACTGAATGATATTTGACGTCCATATTTTTGAATTTTGTTATATTTCTATATGTGGACGTCAGATTATCGGTAAAGTTTAATACCGCACGATATTTGACGTCCATATAACCATGAATATATTTACATTTTAATTCCTTGTTTATTAGACACACATTAATGATCATTGCTTTAATGACATTTTTCGCTAGTGTTTTATTCGTATTCTAGTGTAGGGAGGACATGCGGTATAAAATAGTCATTTTGGTGTTTTATAAAATGTTTCGTTCTAGAAATGATAAAACGCTTAGAAGCTTAGAAAACGTGTGTGAAAAATTAAATTCTATTTCAACTAACTGCAAAACCAAACATAATATTATCATAGTTTAACAAAAACAGCCTTTCACAAAAATTAATCTAGTTAAGTAGAGAGTAATTTCGTACAGATTAGGTACAATAGTCGCACTCATCCTTAATATGCAGTGAGTTTCTTTGGCAGACCATATTAGGTTATTAGTCACAATATAATAAAAAAAAACTTCTATGAAACCTGTCAACATCTACAATTGAGTCCATCTTCCTGTACTCAATCAAAAAGTAACTTATTAAACAGAATTATGGGTTGCTTACGAAATACCTAACAAGAGTTCTTTTAGGCAGGTTAGTACCAAATGTAAAACGTTAAAATATAGTGCAGCATGAAATAAACCGATAAGCTGACGTGCGCATCTACATTTATAAAAATATAACTACATTCAAAAATACTGGTGTCAAATATCATTCAGTATGAAAGTTTTAGGATATTCGGACGTCCATATTATATGTAGATAAATGTAAGTCCCCCCCGTGACCATGGGCGCTGTAAAGCACCCGAAACGTCGGGATAATAATAAAAATAAATTAAGGTAATTAAACGCGATAAAATCCGTAAATAATAGTTTTATTCAATGTGTAGTGTTCGCGTAAATTTAAGAAATCATTAGATAAATGTAAGGTTAAGAAAACAAGTTTGAAAGTAAAATTACTAGTACCAAGCGCAGTATACAACATATAAAATGTCCTGCAGACCGAATTACGGTCACAGCGGCCTGCCTCAATGGAGACTAGCCATCGGCGCAGGACAGGAATATAGTGCCCAAGTGTATGCGCCACCGCAGGTGTACTCTCTATTCCCTCATTCTCATAATCCGACGGGACGGTAAACCGACACGACCGGTGAGAGATCAGGCGCAGGACCAACGGCTTTACGTGTTTTCCGAGGCACGGGGCGAATACACCGCCAACTTCCTGACTCCGGGCAGCTATTGAGAATTTCTTGACAGAAAAACTCAATAATTGATTTTTGGCCCGACCTGGGATTCGAACCCAGGACCTCACGATCAGCAGTCGCACTACTACAACCACTAGACCGACGAGGCAGTCATAACCATATATCACTAAATACAAGTAACGCGTTGGCAACGGTGACGGAACGGCAACGTCGCATCTCCTAATTTTGTGCGGAAGTCAAATACGGCCATAAATGAAAGTATTCACAAATCGGCAGCAGCGCTATTATTTTTGCAACGAAAATTAGCGGAACTACGTAAATATTCAGTACAGCAAGATTGGAAGAAAAAATGACGTCCATTTTTTTTAGATTTTAACATTTCTGTGATCAGAATGACAATTTGCGAACATTGCGCTAGGTCTCCTATTTGACGTCCGTATATTGGACGTCGTAAGCAGGTTGACGCCACATTATATGCAAAAGTGGCCATAGTGGACGTACAGTAAGTTATGGGATATGGGCGCATAATTACAATTATAAATATATAAAAAAAAAAAAAAACACCACATCTGATTACTCTGAAATGGTCACCAACAGTCAATATACGCATGCTCTACCATCACATCTATGGAAGTGTGTCTTGCGAATCATATTCACTCTACTCTTTTTAAAGGGTGGGCCGGGCCATCTAAGATTTTGAATTTGAATCGGCTTTAAAAAAAATAATGAATATTTTTCCACCTTATGAGTTTATTAGAAAATTTGGAAGACAACATCATTCAAATTACTGCCACGGCTAGCCTTATAATTCGATCAGTCCATTTTTACAGTACATTTTCGATTGTTTGGGGCCACTATTTCGTCCATGACAACTTCGATTTCATGTTTCAAGTCGTCAATTGTCTCAGAATGGTTAGCGTAACACTTAACCTTAACGGCTCGCTACAAAAAAAAAAAGTCCAACGGAGTCAAATCACAGCTTCGAGATGGCCAATTAACATCAACATTTCGGCTGATTATGCGATTTTCAAAAGATCGATTGTTATGTTGGCTGTGTGACATGTTGCGCCGTCCGGTTGAACATAAATGTCGTCTATGGCATCCTCTTTAATTTTGGGAATCAAAAAATGCCGCGGTAGCGATCGCCTTTCACTGTAACTTCGTTTTCTTGCACATTTTCGAAGAAAAATAGCCCAATAACGCTGCCAGACTCAAATCCGCACCAGACAGTCACTCGATGTGGATGCATTGACTTTGCGATGACGTGTGGATTTTGTGAGCCTCAGATGCAATAATTTTACTTATTGATGCATCCTCCGAGGTAGAAATGAGCTTCATCTAAAAAAAAACGACGGTTTGCACTCCGGGAGTACCGGCAGAAGTGAAAACTTGAATATTAACGTAGTGCATTTTTGATATTTTGTAATGGTTAGAGAATAATTTTGCACGAATTGCTTTAATTATCAGTATAAAAGTACTATTATTTATGTGGTAGAAAATAATATTTATTTATTGCGCTATCGTACACAAC